CCATGTTTGCGCGTCCAAGTGAATATCAAACAATAGAAGTACACACTAGCTTAAGCAGCAAAGAAGTGTTTCGACGTACCAATGCGTCCACGAAGTTGAGGGGCGACCCCAAGACTGAAAAAGCATGCAGGCAAGCTGAGCCTGGCTGAGCCTCGACCCATCCCCAGCATGACGTGCCACATGTCCAACTCACCACTTGCTTGCTTTCGAGGAGATCTAGAAGGCCCAGAGATTGTCCTGGCGGCATTTCTCATGGCTCAACTATGTTCTTGGTCTTTTGTGGAATGCCTGGGCCACACAGCAGAGGCTCTACTCTTTACCTATCGGGCAGGCCGTGATGGCTATTTGGGAATTGCCGTGATGGTAGGTGAGAGGACCGGGCTCTTTGAGATGCCGGAGTGCGTTGGAGGTCAGGTGGGGCTCGCCCAGCCGCCAAAGCTTTCGCAGCTGCTGCCTGCCTTAAACTGAATCGCTGGCAAAGATTTCAGCGATGTGTCACCTCAACCGGCTTTTTACGAAATCATGAGGCTGTAAAAGTTGCTCAACACATTGTTCGACAGAACATGACAGAAGTAATTTAGTCGATCCTTCTGCCGCGAACTTTCCAGGAGATGCTCGGTCGGCTTTTTGTGGAAAACTTTGATCTGCGGCGCAAACTGCGCGCAGGCTCACAAGGCTGGTCGTTGGGGTTGTTCCGGAAGCATGCGCAATGCGTCAGTCGAATCACTGAATCACTGGCCGTGCCCTTTGATGGGATGATGGGATCAGGCCAGGATGAGACATCCCAGCCCATCACTGAGCCGATGCAGACGTGCAAGACTCCAAGACGAAAGCGTTGAGTAAGATTCTAAAGTTCCAAGGCCATCTGTGCCTCAGGCAGGGATCCAGGGGCGAAAAAGGGGGCATGATCACTCATGCTTGACGATCATTGGAACCATGCTGCGGTGAGTTTCATTTGTTGTTTTTGCAGAAACAAGGAACACCGCAGAATGCCAGGCTGATGTAGACTTGAGTCGCTTTGCGGTGCCCGAAGGCTCTGAGCTGAAGTATTTTTGGAAAAGGAAGAATCCTTGTAAAGGAGCGAATGACAACAGTAATAATTAACACAAGTCATCTAAAATCCAACAGGTGACTTGCAGAAGTATGTATGTCGGTCCAGTTCTTGTTGAAAAACCAGACGCACTAGCTCGACGGTGAGGTGCAGACTCTGATGATGAGAGCCTGGTGCCACATCCTGCCATCTGCTTAGGAGTATATATATATATATTGTTGGCTGACAAGGGAGAAAGGATTGCAGAAGCGCAAAAGAAAAGCAAGTTTGACGAATGAGGGGTCAATTCCACCCTTCATCCCAGCCGCAGTGGCCTTAGGTCCTCTTTCACACTCATCCAAGGAATTCCTCGTAAAACACTAAGGCAGAGAGCACCACGCTTTTGAGGCAAGTGAAGTGATGGCAGCTTAAATCACATCATTCCTCCAATGATGTTTGCCTCACAGACGAAAACATGATGTGGACGCCGAAACAGATCGAAGGCTTCCTTCACCGGAACCCGAGCCATCCAGACTGGAGCCATCGAGGCAACGGTGCGTCGTCCGCAGTGGACCGTGGGCCATGCAGACCCAATGGCAACGGCCGATGAAGAAGAAGGGCGAGCATTGAGCACTTCTTCTTCCGGCTGGTTCAGCCTCACGCGTGGTAGATTCATGTTTTGTGACAGAACTTCTTCTCCAAGAAGCCTCCTATTGGCCTTGGACTTCAAGGTGGGTTTTCTTGACGAGAATCCACAGTAAGCTGGTCTGCAGGCGGTCCAGGCGGTCAGCAATGTTTGTTTTGCAGGCTTTGTCAGTTGCAGAGTGAGCCGAAGCGTTCGAAGACGAGCCCAGAGAGCCAAGCTTTGATTCGATCACATACACGACCAGTATATCCCCGGTGGACTTGGATCTCTCTGTCTTTGATCTTCGCTGTATATAGCTATAGTCATTGTCTAGTCTTGCTAATATCTTCCACCCGAATGGGTGAGCCCTCGTGGATGATAGCTTTGTCATGTATTGTCCATAAAAGATGACACTTCCATTTTTGACATCAGATTACATTACATCAGGCTACATATTGCACCATCGCACGGCAACTGAAACAGTCCGCAGCCTTGGTGGCTTGCGTGTCTGGATCTGCAATCATCAACAATGACCGGCCATCAACAGCAAGAAGCAGTTCAAGAATAACCACAATTAAAGGAATCAAGAACTGTGAGCGACAGCAAAGAATCATCAACAGTGAATATGAATCCATGCTGGTCACAGCTGCACACTTCGAAATGCCGATGTGTGATTTGCGCAAAGCTAGCCTTCTTCTTCAATCCTGTACATGAAGGGAAGCACTCATCAACCACGGCCAATTGAGGGTGTATTCTGCGTCAGAGTTTCAACACATCTCTTTAACGCAAATTGCCAGAATGGTAAGCTTTGCCGCGTCTGCAGATGGATTTGCCATGGCCGTCGGGTAAAAGTTGGTGTAAAGCTCAGTGACTATTGCGTGAAAATGAGTAAGGTCAAGCTGAATCTGGTTGATTCATTGGTACTGGATTCTACAACCTGATTTTTTGTCGATCATGGCAACATCCCTATGAACCAAACAGTAGAATGGCTCTTTTGGTAGGTTTTGGCTGCAAGCCGCAGAGTGCAACAGATAAGCACGTGGAACCGCTTGTCGTTCATCGGGTATTCCACGTCAGGCATGGGTTGGTGAGGATTATCAGGAAAACTTACGGGGACATGTCCGTTCACCTAGGTGTGTCAAACTTGGGCACCCCCAAAGAGGGAGGGTCAAACTGAAGCCTTTTTTTTCCATGTTGAGAAACAAAGGAATGGTTTTATGAGCCCGTGGCAGGACCCGTGTCTGGGTCTGGAACAACGAAAAACGTGCGTCCCTGAGGGTGGCATGCAGCCGAACATGGCGTGTGGAGGAGGCTGACAGTGGTTTGTGTGGTGTTTTGTCATGGGGAACGAAAGCCTGTTGGGCAAGGCTTTCCAAGGCTTTGTGTCGAGATGTATGACGATGTTTGTGTCTGAATGCAGATTGTCTATGGCCAAAAGTCACCAACTTGGGAACTGATCCCATATGGCCATGTTTTCTTCTTTGTTTTTTTAACCGCATGGCCATGCCAGTGCCAAGCAGCTCCGCAGGTTGCATGCCCAATGGGCCTGGCATGGGAGCAATGGGCTTCGAACCCAAGTTGTTTGCGAACGATAGGTTCAACAGTCTCTTGTTCAGCAACTTGCTTGGTTGCTTGTGATTCTTGATGCTTGCTTGTTGTCGTTGTTGTTACTGCAATACTTCCCCTACGGTCCTAGCCAGTACCTGTAGTCATTCTGAGTAATTATCATTGCTCTTGACTGCATTCATGGAGAGGGCAGAGCAGACGTCCGACAGAACTCTGGAGGGTGCATTGCTTGATGCAAAGCTGACCAACTCCTCTGCAGAAGAGGCAGCAGACGTGGAGTCAAGTAGTGTATCCAGCTCCTCCCACGACGATCCAGAGTTGCGACCAGATGTAAATGCGCAAGATCATGCAGTTCTTGCATCCGGCTCACACGATGTGCAGGTGTTTCGTGGCCAGTGGGATGATGAAGGGGTGTATTTCTATCAGGCTTACAATGAAGAGATTGCCGAGTGGGCAATTCGACATCAGGAGTTTGGTGGTCCACGCTTCAATCCGACGCGCATGACTTGGATAACACCCTCTTTTGCTTGGGTTCTTTATCGTTCTGGATACGCGCGAAAGCACAACCAGGCGAGAATTCTCAAGGTTAAACTGTCCCATGCTTCAGTTGCAGAGCTCCTGAAAAACTGCCAGTGCCGGACAGGAGGTGGTGGCTCCAAGGGCCGTGTGCAGTGGGACCCGGATCGAGATCTCCTGTCGGGGGACGGCAAAGCCCCTCGAGAGATGCTTCGCCAGCGTGCAATCCAGATAGGCTTGAAGGGCTCGCTATCCGAATTTTATGTCAGGAGTGTAGTGGCCATCGAGGATGTCACTGAGCTTGCGCACCGTGTTCAAGCAGCACACACTGCGGCCGACTCAAAGCTGGCTATGTCACAGCTCTTGCCAGAGTTGCCAGTCGAGCGCCCCTACATGCCATCCTGCCCAGAGCCCGACCTCACTAGACTAAGGATGCTGCCTGGAGGTGGCCCTCTGCATGCCAAGCGTAAAAGCAAGAAGCATTAACTAGGGCTTGGCAGTATCGCTTGGGCAGCCTTGAGGCTTGGCTCGCCCTTGTACAGATGTACAGCACTTTGGGTCCTGCTGAGCAGCACGAAAATGGCTGAACGAATCATCCCTGGTGCTTGCTGTCATGATTCTTGTGTCAACTGCACTTGTGCTGATTGCAGCCCCAGGTATGGGCATGTGCCAGATGATGCCGGGTCAAATGCCCATGATGGGCATGAACATGTCTCCAGGTATGTCATCAGGTATGCAGCCTAGTATGTCATCAGGCATGTCGCCGAATATGTCTTCTGGGATGTGTCAGGGTATGTCAGGAGGCATGAATGGCATGGGCATGCCATCTGGCATGTCGCCAAATATGTCCTGTGGTATGTCGCCAAATATGTCCAACATGAATATGCCCATGATGGGTGGCATGGGTACCTGAGCTGCAAGAATCAATTGCAAGTTGCAAGATTCCACACAAATCTCCACCGTTTGGAAGCTTCAGAGTATCCCTGACCCAGGCATGGCAATGATGCCCAATCCAATGCGACCCGGTATGGAAATATGGATGGAGGTATGTCTCTTTGTACCTTCAGGATCCTTCAGGTCCCGATTCCAAAAAAATCTCCCAGTAGCGTCTTTGCTCAGAGTAGTAAGGCCAGGAGCCCCTAGTAGCGTCCTTGCTCCTAGCGTTCAGTTGCACATGCAAAAGCAGGCCTATTCCTTATGCCTCTGTCTTTGAGCTAGTCGTCCCAAAAAAGGGTCATCGATGCGCAACGCAGCAACCCAAGGATGATGATGATGATGGCAGGTGGTATGGCAGCTGCGAAGCAAAAGAGCAAGAGTGCATCACCAAAGCGACCTTTGGATGCACTTTGGCACAGATAGGATGCTATTTAGGATGCATTTGGGATGACGCAGGTCATCCACCCATTGTGGATGGGTCATATGAGCTTCCGACCAGTTTTTCACTCCATCGAGGAGAATTGTAAGTACATGCATGCGTACTCGCATACAGGCATGCCGACACGCATACAGGCACACATACATACATGCATGCATGCATGCAACCATGCAACCATGCATACATACAGACATACATTTTTCTTTATATCAAGTTGGATAGCAATGCCTTATCAGTGGACGGTGACAAATCACAGTTGCTGATCAGGGTTTCTGGATCCATCTTGGGATTCATTGGTCCCGATCACTTCCCAAATGGCACACGAACTGTTTGGATCCACCGAACGTTTTCTCTCATCGTGTCTCACTGCGTCAGGATCATCCTCGCCCGTGGAGAGCGATGAGAAGGCTCCGCCATCCCAGGGGGGTCGTAGAAGCTGCAGTTTCGCTTTGACTAAGCAGGATCTCTGAGCACTTTCACCTAGTAAAGTTGGACATTGGAAAGCATCTAAGAGTTGTCCATGCTTAAGGCTTAAGGTTCGGGATTTTCGGTGTTCAAATCCTTGCAAACTCCTTTCAATCCATGAACAATCAGTACCACAATAGCATACACTACTATTCTCCCTCTCTCTCTATATACTGTATATACATACATACACACATACACTACAACTTATATGCTATTGCTATGTCGGCGGACCTTCTTCGGTCGCCTTCACCAGCGGCGCGCTTCACCTGAGGTCGCTTCACCGTGCGATTTCCTAGACCCGGAGGTTCGTGACTGGTCAGCAGGGATCCAGCGGACCTGTGGCGGAAGAACGGCGGTCTTTTTCGGCTTTTTGGTGAACTCTATGTGCACACAATATGGCACAACACACACACACACACATAGATCTCAGCAAAATTATAGCGAATCATATTGAGTCATCAAGCTGCCAAGACTGATGGCAACGGACTCTGTCATGAATGACCATGGATGTAGAATGGCCATTCCTGAAAGAAAATACTCTGGAGGATTGCACTTGAATCTCTGATCAGGGCAACAAAAGCTCCAATGGGAGGCGACAGGACAATGTTTTTTTTCTATTCTTTTTCCATTTTATCCCTTTCCATTCAACCTCCTCCAACCTAGAAGGGATGGCCACTAATAGCGATGGCCTCCAACCTAGAAGCAATGGCCTCCAACCTCCCTTTAACATTCTTTTGCAATATTGTATCAAAAGCCACTCTCAAATTCTCAGGGAAACTGGGTGATCACTTCAACATTGAAGACCGATGGCTTGTGCGCCTGGATGAGCTCATGAGACCCTTGGAGGAGCGAAGGTCGGACCTTTTTGCCCTCGGTCGGTCGCCGATAGACGGTCGCGGGAGAGCTGGGGAGTGTCCTTGTGCATTAGACACTTGGAACAGGGAGCTTGTCACAAGAGATGCCACCTTTCTTTGAGGGGTCTGCATATGGTATGCATATGATTAGTCTAAAGATGCGACCAATGAGCCGAGTCTTTCTCTGGGTGTGGACGTGTTTCGACAAGTCAGACTTCCATCGGCTGAGGAAGACGGAAGGACACCAAAGATCAGGACACCAACTACGCGGCAGACCGCCTCCATACCAACTTCAGCTAAGCGTTGTTGGCGAGAGATTCTATCAGCTCATCAGCTATCATAAACAATATATTAAAGCCGTGTTAAAGCATGAGCATCCAATACGATCATTCAGTAAGCAATTGTTCTATCATTGACTATCCCTTATTGACCATTGATTAAGCATCGACAGCGGCAAGGATTTGGCCAAACTCTATGAAGTCCTGGAGCAAGCCCGAAGTCCGACAGGAGATCAAGCTGTGAGCTGCCTCTGTCAAGTCTTCTGACCTGTTCATTGATTGGTCATCCAAAAGTGTCCCTTCCCTCACCTGCCATCACGGATGTCTCCTTTTCCGATGCTCCGGAGCTCTGGATGGGCTGACTCGGCCGGAAGTTGGCCAGGACTTCTGGTGGCCAAGCTCGGTGAAATGGAGTGCGGTCAGTTTGTTGGCAAGGCCGCCTGTTTGGTGATTGTGAGGATAGATAGTTTGGTTAGAGATTTGGTGAGATATGGCCCAGTTTTGAACAGAATGTTTTTTGAAGAACCATGTATGTCATGTTGAGCCCTTTCAACCGTCCTTTGGTCCGTTCGGTTCTCAATCGGCGATATATATATATGTACACGCAGGTGAAGCCCGACCGCAACATCGAGCGTTTGGCGACCAGGTACAACCTCGTGCCTTGGTGCAGAAAGCTTGGAACGAAAGGAAAGACAAATGCCATCCCGAACTTCCTGGGTGAAATGATGAGAACCATGATCATGCATGAATTGACACATAGCATCATAGCATCTATTGAAGATGATTCATGATTCTATCCCGTGCACCTTGATTTGGCATCGATTGACGTTGATTTGGCATCTATTCCCTGGGCTTTTGGGGGAGATGTTTGATCTCTTTCCATCGTCTCTGGGCGACTAGAACAGCGGACCAGTTGCATAGATCTGGTACCCGGTGCCAATTGCGGATGAAGCGATCGATCATGACATGATGGGACTATGACATGGCATGATGCAATGAACACATATTGCCCCTTCTAAGGACACTCGAGTGGTGTCCCGGCTTACTGAGTTGAGGCGTGCAATACTGGATTGAAAGGTGAAACAGCCTCTGTTGAGTCCTGGTTGGTGGGTTGCCCCGCAGGGTGAGGCGGAAGAAGACGCAGACAGAGGACTTCAACCGACTGGAACAGCATCTCAGTCTTTGCAAGAGGCGGACGTGGGGGGGCATCTGAGCACCAAAAAGCCAAAGTTTTTTTTTCAGAAGACTGAAGCTGTGCTGCCTACAGCATCTTGCGAGTTGTTTGACTAGAATTATTGCTTCTCTGTTTCGACAACGTGGAGCAAATGAAAAAGTAGCACAACGTTTCTAAAGTGTTAGTAACTGATTTCTTGCAAAATGCTGGCTGAATGAATTCTTGGAGAGGTAGCAACCACATCCTAAGTTGAACGTTGATCTACGTGATGCCACCATCTTCCATAAATTCAAACCAACACATCTTTTCAGATGCTTTCGGATGGAGATCAAGTGCCACACCAATCGGTCATGGCGCACGAAAGCCTTTCCACGGTGTGTGGCACTTGCCTCCACCCTGCGTCGCAGGCCCTCAGCCACTGCGACGCTTCTCATTGGCAAAGTCCTGGAAGGCCCATGGTGTAGATTGACGCCCCCGTATTGGGTACCAAAAGTAGAGAACTTTTTTTAACTTAACACAGACACACGCTTAAGTCTCAAAATGTTTTACATAAGCACTGTAAACTGATGGTGAATCATATCATGATGCATGCTGTGATCATTGCTCTGTCCGGCAGGGGAGCTGAAACAGATTCCAGCCAGACACTCGGAGCTGCCGCCCGCAGCGGGACCGATGTGAGGCCGTTTTTTTGGATTTGTCAGGATGTGACCACGGCCAAAGCGCTAGCACAGAGGTGGGCGACAGAGACCTTTCAGAAACGGAGGAAGACATGGGAGAAGAAGGACAGTACATGAGTTGCATGGCCCCCCGAAAAGGATCAAACAGGGTTTCTAAGCCCCCACCGCTTGGTTTCTAAGCCGGGAAGGCCGAACCCAACCGGTCGAACGGCTCACGGCGTTGTTTCGGTGGCCCTTATGGCCTTGGCGATGGTCGTGTGATTTTTAGCCATGAGGTGAAATCATAGTGGTCGACCACCATGCACTATCATCCATTTCAAACCTTTTCCATCCTCTTGTCAACTATCCTCCACCATTTTAACCAGTTTTTTTTGCTTTTTTCTTTTTTTCTGGTATGAACCACCAGGGAAGTTATTGCCTGCATGAGCTTCAACCCGTGCAGGTTCAAGTTGGACAAGGCCCAGAAAACATATGCAGCTGCTGTTGGTGGCTTTGAGACCGGCATGTTTTGGCTTGGAACTAGTGGTGATTGTCGGTGATTATTGATATTGCACGATCGTTGGCCACTCTAGATGCTTGGCAATCATCGTTTTTTTTCTTTTTTTCGGGGAGGTAGGGTTGATCATCCATGCTTGAAGAAGATTCTTTGGGGGGGTTTGGAACTCACACCCTTGCAGCTTTTCTGCGGCAGGATGCCAAGTCCAAACTGCGGGAGATCGCCGAGAAGCGTGCGGAGGATGTGGAGGAAGTCATGGTGCACTTGGAGAAGACCCTCGCGTGCCTTGGGCCGGGCTGCAGTGAGAGGCATGTTTTTTCAGAGATTGGTGATTTGGTCAGCTCTGTGATGCATGGAATTGATCAATTCAGGTTGGATGAGTTTCATGGCACATGTTTGGTGATCACATGGATTTATATATTCATTCCATGACATGGTTCCCAGATGATCTCGTTGATTTGGCAGGTTCCAGCCACCGCGCTGCAGTGTCCTGGTTGACCCCGGTTGGCTCATTGTGACTTAATGGGGGGCTTTTGAACCCACCAGGTGTCATGCATGGGAGTAGCCCCCCCCCAGAGACTGACATGCACCCTGAAAATTGACCTGTGGAAGACCATTTTTCGAATACCAACCCAGTGGTTTTGGGGTTCCATGTTAATCTGCATGGGAGTACTTATTCACCATTCACCATCAGTGATCAACTGTTCAGTCGCCATGAAGAACTATATACACATTGATGAGCTGTTGATTCACCATCACGGCCTAATCCATGAGAATGGCTGACACCATGGATCGCGCCGATGATTCTGACGGATCAAAAATCCTAAGTTCCCTTGATTCGCCAAGCAGCATTTGTGGGGGCTCAAAGAGCTATCCGGTCTGAGGATGTCGCACCAGCCCTCCGCCACTCTGTGCAAGCTGGCCAAGACCCTCATGGATGGTGGCAAAAAGAGGAGTCTGATGCCTAATGGGAGGTCGTGATGTGTCAACGATTTCGACATTTTTGTGAAGCAACACTCAGGGAATAGGAAAGAAATTTGACCTCCACCCACCCACCCACCCACTGGGAAGGCCGCCGACACGGTAGGTCAAACGCAGGGAAGTCTGGGGTTTGGTGAAAACTCTTGCAATGTCTTGACGGGTCAATAAGGGTCATCCATTTACAGTACCCATTCCGATGTTCACCAGGGTACCTTTCATTTTGACATGTTACACACACACACACATATATATATATGTTGAAACCACGGACCGATTCGATCCGTCCGAGAGCTCCTGCTCTCCCCCTACCGGCGGCCTTTTCCGCGCCCGATCCTCGAGCAAAGGTTGCCTCCGGTCCGACCTATAATGCACACCCGTCGTGACACTGCTTTCACACTCCACCAACTGTAAAAACAAAAGCTTTCCGTCGAGCATTCGATACAGCAGGAGTACAGGTCACTTGTGAAAATTCTGTTCACTTCCTCTCTCGCTTGTCGCTGCTTCCCGGGAAACTCTCCGTAGGATCAGTGGTCTGATTCACACTTCCGGCGTAATCGATGGCACTGAGATAAGCAGCAAAGTCGCCGAAACGACCATCTCGATCTTTTCCATGGGCCTGAACCCAAATCAAATAGGACTGGTATTCAGTCTTGCTTGTGAGTTCTTGGTATGAGAGGCCCAACTTACTTACCTTCGGAAGGCGGCACACTGTGGATCCCCAGTCTTTCAGACTGGTCACGCCAGCGGGAAAACAAATCTTGGACTTGTCCATCTTCTCTGGAATCACTGGCTTCTGGTCATGGCTCATGTGTCCACCAAGACGTTCCTTCTCGAGTGGCTGATGCTCTTCTGAGTAATGAACCGGCTCCCATGCTTCATCCAACTCACTGTCTCGCTGGTCACGAAGACGCTTGGCACTGTCATTCATTGCGACATAGCCCTGTGTCACATCGCTGCGACTCTTTACACCCGATTGGTGGGCTCGGCTCATGATCGCCTTGGCATGTGCCAACTCCTCCGGAGTCACAGGAGTGGATGGGGAAGACATCGATCAAGCCACTGAACAATCAGAGACACGATTGCCTCTGAGATGCGAGAACAAGATCTTGAACAGATCAAAAAGGGCTTGCATTACCTATATCGGTTTCGGAGCGCTCACTCTGACACGCACAAAACAAAACGACAAATTAGAAAACTCAACTGTACACAAAAAGGGCACGGCGCGTGATCTGGCACTAGTTCTACTCTTTCATTGATTCCCTCCACGGCATCCTACCGACAAACACAATGACTGCAAGTGAACAACAAGTGCAAACACGTGTTCATTTCTCTTCTTCTGACGTAGAAGACTTCTGACTCTGGGCTTTGGCTCTCTTACCGGCTAGGTTCTTGCGTCTCTCACGTTCTTCTCTTTTCCGGTCCAAGACTGTCTGCTCGTCTGCCAGTTGGTATCTGGCTGCACGGAGAACTGAACGAAGGAGGTCCATCGGTTCAGCCTTGTCCTTAGTCAGTCCATCGGCTAGCATGTGTCCTGTGGGAACCCATCTAGCTTCCATTTTGGTTCGACGAATGGACTGCCTGATGATAGCTATGTCAATAGCTGTTCGTCTGTCATCTAGAACCCCTCCCGAACCTAACGAGGTCAAATGATCATATAGTGAGCGACAATCTGTCATGCCTATAGGGGGCCGCTTGAGGAGAACTTGGTCTGCTTCTTCCAACAGGAAAGGACCATCAAGACATTCGGAGGTCATGAGGGCAACCCATTCACACATTCCTGAGGCTGTCGAGAAGGCCTGTGCTTCACCTCCCATCGTTGATGACACTACGCGTGGTAGTCGATAAGACTTCCATGCGAAGCAGTGCACTGGAACATCTAAGCCTTGCTTCATTTTATTTGAGGTAAAACCAACAAGCCATCCCCCTTGAGTCTTAAGCTCAGTGGTGTTCGCGAAGGCGGCATCAGACCAAAAACAGAGAGTCAACTCTTCTGGTGCGATGAAAGGCACTCTGATTTGCAAATCTGCCTGTTGCCTTGCCCGACGCACGGCTTGGTTGGCTTGGAGAAGGTCAAAAACCGTTGGCTGAGGAAAACATTGCTGACTCTGAGATGTCTGTACAGCCATATCTGGTCTAGTTTGAGTACTCAACCAACTCAAGGCACCATTCACTGCTCTAAGCGCACTGATCTCCTGTGGATTCGCTGGTAGCCATGGACGCTGAGCTCTTTCCTTGTTGATCTTGATGGGCTGGATGTGTTCAGCATATTCTTTCTGGCCGAAACAGATTTCACCAGTCTCAAGGTCTTGCTCATAAACCGTCCCAAGGAATTCACCCTTCCCTGATCGCCACTTGCGGAAAGGAAATCTTGCTCGAAGCTTGGCTATGGCAGCTTCATACACCTCACCTTGACCTCCCGTGATTGTGTCATCAACATGAGCACCAAGGATTCCTTGCAGTTTACCATCCGGACCATGACAAATGTACAGACAGTTGTCAAACTTACTTCGAACAAACCCTGATGCAACAGCCACTCGATCAAACTCGCAGTACCATTCATGGGGAGCATCGTTAGCACCGTAAATGTTTCCAAGTACTTGAACAAGGGAACCTTCTTCAATGCCGGGGACTCCACCTGGTGGCAACTCGGCGTACACTGGATTAGCTAAGGCTTTGTCTCTTACGTTTGCTTCTAAAAAGGCGCCTTTACTATCTCCTAAGTGCATCACCCATCCATGACTTACGATCATCTGCAAGATCAGGCTTCGGTCGAACTGCGAGAGCGTCGGAGAATGACACTTCCCAGCGAGCACCTTTTGGAACAAGTCAGGATCATGATGTCCCCTCAAGCACCAACGTGCCTTGATCTTGGATTGTCCGTCCTCATGCTTCTCGATGATGACGAATCTGCTAGTCATGATTCGATCTGGTTTATACTGTCTGATCTTCTGGGCTTCAGTTGGGGACAGCACTTTAAGGGCATGCTTCTCATCTCGGAGTGTGGTCCATTCTGCGGTCTTGGCCAAATCTATCTGTTCTTGGACCATTGGAGGATTCTTCGAATGATGTAGTTCCTTCTGCATCTTTTTCTGAAGAAAGCTGGCAACCAAGACTTCTACACATGGAGCTGGGCCATTCTCCTGTATGAGTTCCGTCACAAGGCACTCATCCGAGTCTGTCTTCGAGCACTTGCTAGGAGCACTGGAGGGTCCGTCAGGAGACAGGCTGCGTTTTGTTCCATGTGCCTCTTCGAGAACCTCTTGAAGATCTTCCATCCTGGTTTCCGGAGGTCTCAACAAGAACACTGGGGGTCCTTTGGTCTGTCTCAACCGAACAGGTCCGTAACCCTCATTGCTGTTTTCAGCACTGGTTCGCTCAGCTTCGGTTCCCAAGGGAGTCCACCTCGTTTGGGCATCTGTACCCATGTTTGCGAGTGTTCGAGACATTGAACTGGTTGTTCCTGTGGAAGGTTGCGCCAGTTCTCGCAGCTCTACCTGACTTCCTTTCCCCTGCAAAAGAGGGGGGGTCCGAACGTCGACGTTTGGACGGGGTCTTTTTGGATTACTACCTTCTAGGTTGTCAGACAAACTATCACCTGTTTCGGATTCTCCTATGCTCGGACTAGCTGGCTTCGGCATTGCACTCGACACGGGCTTTGTGGCCGACGGCACTGTCACGCTGGCTGGGTTCTCTCTGTGTGGACGAATCTGGAACTGTGATTCTCCCTTCCAAGTGGTTTCCCCCCAAACCCCGGTCTGCGTGTCCGGATCTGACCAAATCTTATGAACCACGACTTCACCTGTGTCCGAACGAATGGTCTTTCGCCAATTTTCCAAAGACACGCCCTTCAACAATGGGTCATTTGGATCAGGAAGGAACCACTTTTGACGTGGAGTACGATGAACTCTGCACAACAACTCACCTCTCTTGATCCACACATCTGGCTGAGCTACAGGTTCACTAGCAATCTGCATCGGAGTGGGAGTACCTGTCAAATCAATAAATTGTGATCCGATCTGTTCCTTGTCCTGGAGAATTGTGTTCAAACCCAACAACTCTCGACCGTCGGTCTGGGCAAGAAGTCTCTCTTCGGCAGTCACATGTCTCAAATGCTCTGGAGCCACTTTAAAGACGTTCTTCCTGTGATACACCAAGAAGTTTCGACCTACCTTACCCATGACAGTTGCAACCCCGAACCATCTACCTCCTACTAGTCTCATGCCACGCTCATACTTCTGGGTCCGCCAATATGCAACGAAGTCCCCTGGCAGAAAGTCTCTCTCTATCCTTGGTCTTGCATTCAAGGCTGTCCTAAGTGTCTTGTCGTCTTGAGACATGATCAGGGCCGTGCGAGCCTGAGTGCGAATTGCCTGCGCTTTTGCCACTGCATCGTCGGACAGGGCGGCTGTCCCGGACACAGGGCAGGGCCATTCCTGAAGCAGGTCACCTGGCACTCTAGGGTTTCTACCGAAAACAAGTTGGCATGGCGACAGTCCATGTTGATTCAACAACTCGTTCTTTGCATTCATGGTCTGTACAATGCACTGTTCATATTCTTCTTTGTTCTTCGGTTGAACCTGATCCAACACCTTTTGAAGGATGACCTCAAACAAATGACCATGCTTCTCTACCTTCCCCAATTGGGAATGTGCTTCGGCTGCAGTCGACAGGACTCTGGTGCCATCTTGCTCTAGCATCTTGAAAATCTGTTCGGACTGATTAGTCCTAGCAGGGTCTGTGATGACTTCAACCGGAGGACCTGCCCATCGTTGCCAAGCATCAAGGTAGATACGCTTCAACACTTCACTGGTTTCCTTCTCATAAAAGGGGACTACTACCTGGAAGCTGCTGGCATGATCTACGATGTTCATGGTTTTGATCTTCTGGTTGACTTGCCAACCTGGCAAATTCTTGACATCCCAGCCAATCCGTTGATTGAATTCAGTGGCTTTCTCTGGATTGGACGGCAAGGAAGGCGTGGGTCGCTGTCTCTGCCGGCAAATGTCGCACTGACTCTCTACCTGTTCGGCTGCCTTCAAAGCTTGTTCCGAGCCACCTGCGTTCTTCAGGCTTCTAATGAGGGTCCTAGTAGAGGGATGGCCTAGATTATTGTGAAGTCTCTTCAACAAGCTCTTTACCTTTTCAGGATCATGGGCAGCCTCTGCTACACAGACCTCATGGCACTCAGTCGCTGTTGGAAAGGATTCCTGCACATCGGCGAACGAACACAAACAATCTTGTGGTCTGATGCACGTGTACCAAGTTTGAACAAAGGCTTGTGTGTACGTGGCAGCTGATGCACTCCTAGAAACCCCTTCATTAGTCCTACCTGCGATCGACTGATGTCTTGCATGGCCGGGACATGTACGGACAAGTTCACTCATGTCAACATGTGATACGGCCAGTCCTGTCGGTTTGAGGACTGGAATCTGGCTGTCTGGGTCTGAAAGACCGTAGGCACACATGTCGGCTCGATGCACGGACAACTTGCCTGCTTGAATGAGCTTCTTCATTGGGCCGAACTTCCACAGATCACTTGACCATGGATGTTCAACCAACACGCGTCCACCTCGTCTCAACTGGCGTTTGATCTGCTCAACACAAAAGGTGGCCTGTCGAGTGGCAATGCGTTGATTGTGCAACTGTTCTGCCACTGAAAGCTTGTGTTTGTTGAGCCTGTACCAACCACCCCAATGCTTGCACTCGGGGCAGCACACCAGCAACTCGGGAGCCTGCTCTTCCAAGATCGTGTCAACCTGCGCCTGTGTCTTAGGGTCAGTCAGGTCCCAGCCTTGCTTGATGTCAAACGCCAAGCCCTTGTCTCCTCTCTCCCTTGCCCAGGCACTGAACCTTGGCGGAGAGAATAGCTCAGCGACAGCACATTTGGTCTTCTTCTCCTTGTTCCAGGTTTCACTGTGTGCCAACAAGCACCGCTGTTCTCGGCGAGTGAGGACTCTGGTAGGTCCTTGCATGAACTGTTCTGCATCCTCCTCCGATGTGTCTTCTTCTGTCGTTGGATTCTGTCCTCCTTCCACGACAAGAACCTCCTCGTCCACTCCCTCGGAGTCCAGCACGTTCAAAATGAACTGGCCAGCTGTGTTCATCTGAAGTGGTCGAGGTGGTCCGCCCTGGAGTTCAACTGTCTCAGCCGCAAAGTCCAGCTTGGCATCTAAGCTCTTCAAGGTGTTTCGGGACAGAAGAAGGGGTGCTGTCCCTCTGATCACCGCAGCTTCGATTCGGCCCGGTCGGCCGTGGATCACAATCGGCATGGAAACTACCTTCTCAGACAGCTCCTCTTGACCATTCCCAAAACGAAACAAATTCTGTTGGGGTCGACTGTCCGGCAAGGTCATCTTGCGGTCCTGATACAGACGCATGAACTCACCCAATGTCTGTTGGCCAATCAATGTACGACTGCAACCCGAATCAATGATGCCATACCCTGGTGAGGACACCAAATAACACTCGTCTGCGTCTGTCACCATGGCTGCCCCACTAGGTTTCTCTGCCTTGTTGCTTGAACTGGAAGCCTGTGGGCAATTTCTTGCCCAATGTCCAATCTGACCGCACCGTCTACAGCGTGACTTCTTCTGAATGTCTGTCAGCTCCCGTGTGAATTGCTTCTTCACGGTATTGGCCTGTTTGAACTTTCTGGCTTTCTGCAGCTTTGAAATCTCGGTTCTCCTCTCCTTCCAGGTTGCTGCCAACACTTCTGCAATCTCCTCTTCATCATACACCTCAGCTGAACTGTTTGCGGATGCAGCATCATGAAACCCATGCTCTGTCAGAAATGCTTCCAACTCTTCAAAAACAACGCTATCAGGCCCTTCCGCTTCTTGAGCTGGCCCCGACTCCGGTTCATCCTCTGACCAGTCGTGTTGGACCACATAGGCTGGAGCGCTCCTGGCCTGTTTCTTGGTTGCTCTGAACTCTGGGAAGCAACTTCTCATCGCAGCTGTAATGCTGTCCATTTTCAAGTCACCCTGAGTCTTTGCTGTCACGATTGCTCGTTGGTCAGCTGACAACCCTGAGGAGTTGAGACATACCCAACCCTGTGCTTCAGGGGGGAAATCCACCGACACTTTCCTCCGACATTTAGCGAAGGCTTCCTGGACTCTCGAGCACCATGCCACCACGGTCTCACCCTCCTGGGCATGCAGCTCAAAGACTTCCTTGAGACATTCGGCCATGTGGTCGTGGGCCAACTTGTCTGGAAATCTGTCATCAAGGCACTTCCAAATGTGTTTGTCTCCATTCTCTTCCCGGAGTAGATCCAACGTCAAATGCTCAACAGTTTCCAGAGCCAATCCGTCAAGAAGACAAAACACGTAAGGACCTCGATGTGTCGGAGTCATGTCTTTGGTGGAGGCCATCTTGGCCAAAGCCCAAAGGCGCCACCGCCTGTACTCTTTGGGGTCCAGACTCTCCCCACTGAATCGACGTTGTCCCATCGACGACCCATCCGAGCTGGCGGCCATGGCACCTACACCCCAAAACTATACACTAGACACTGCTTTCAGTGTTCAGCCCTTCCTAAGGCCTAACTACCCCGGATGCCCTCCTCCGATTGGAGGAGGGCTCCGCTACCAATGTTGAAACCACGGACCGATTCGATCCGTCCGAGAGCTCCTGCTCTCCCCCTACCGGCGGCCTTTTCCGCGCCCGATCCTCGAGCAAAGGTTGCCTCCGGTCCGACCTATAATGCACACCCGTCGTGACACTGCTTTCACATATATATACTCATAGCCACGTTTCTAGTAGAATCCACATAAGCAGTTAAATAATTTGCTAGGGATTTCGATAGCTTGGCACCTGCATTGATCACTATTGCCTGACTCGTGCAATAGTGTTGCCCTTCAGCTGTATGTGGAATGGGGAAGAATGAAGAGTGGGATGTAGCAAAAAGTCCCAAAACATCTGAGCCTAGACTGGAATGCCTTCCAAATGGGTGCTCGCACCAGCACTTCGCTGCCTCAGCGCCAATGCCTTTTCAAGTCTGCTCGCTGTGCCCGGCTGTGCGGGCTGGGTTTTATTTCTGCCCTGCAGGTTTTTTTTTTCCGCCCTGTGCAGTCCTGGTAGTTCCCGCCCTGGAGGCTTGTGCCCTGCATTCTGCCCTGCAGGTTTTTTTTTTCCGCCCTGTGCAGTCCTGGTAGTTTCCGCCCTGGAAGCTTGTGCCCTGCAGAGGTTTCTGTTCCTGCCCTGCTGGGTTTGTTTTCTGCCCTGCAGGGGATTCTTTCCTGCCCTGCAGGGTTTTTCTCCTGCCCTACAGGGGTTTCTTTCCTGCCCTGCAGGGTTTCTTTCCTGCCCTGCGGAGGTTTCTTTTCTGCCCTGCCCGGGTTCCTTTTCCACCCTGCGCAGGCACCCTGTGCAGGGTTCTCCCTGTGCAGGGTTCTTCTTCCACCCTGTGCAGGGTTCTTTTCCACCCGGTGCAGGATTCCTTTTTCACCCTGTGCCGGATTCCTTTTCCACCCTGTGCCCTGTGCAGGGTTCTTTTTCCACCCTGTGCAGGGTTCCTTTTCCACCCTGCGCAGGCACCCTGTGCAGGGTTTCTTTCCTGCCCTGCTGGGGTTTCTTTTCTGCCCTGCAGAGGTTTCTTTCCTGCCCTGCTAGGGTTTCTTTTCTGCTTGCGGGGTTTTCTGCCCAAGGGTTTCGTTCTGGCACTGCAGGGGTTTCTTTCCTGTCCTGCAGGGGTTTCTTTTCTGCCCTGGGGTTTCTTTCCTGCCCTGCAGGGGTATCCTTTCCATCCTGAGGAAGGTCCTCGTCGAACTGCAGGAGTCACTTCTTGACCCTACGAGGGTTTCCTTTCTGCCCTGTGTGTTTCCTTTCCAGCCTCAAGGGGTTTTCATTTCTGCTTTGCAAGTCTTTTTTGCCCTGCAGGGGCTTCTTTTCCTGCCCTGCCGGGTTTCTTTCCTGCCCATCGCCCAGGTGCAGATGAGAAATATGCCAACAAGTCAGACAGTGATGCTGAAAGTCCTGTTGAAGAGAGGCACCGTCCTTTTCGCCCCTGCCTTGTTTGAAAGGGGTCCGCTGAGTCAACACTGTGCGGCAGTGCCGGAGTAGTCTTGGTTCCCAGCAGTGCCGGGAACCGGGAAGCATCTTCCTCCAGTCGGTATTCTTGCGAGGCAAATATCATTGAAGACATCCTATTTTCAGACGAACTACGTGAATGTCCCATGGCCCATGGCCCATTTCAGTATTTTTCTTGAGACCGGATGGGGAACTTAAAGAGCCGTACCCATCGAATTTGAGGTACATAGAACTAGAGCGATACTATCAGTTGAATTCGATCTCTTCTGGTGTCCTGTCGTTGTGCGACAGGCCCAAGAGTCGAAGTGCTGCTCGGAGTGTAGGGAACTCAGACTGCTTCTCGGGGGACGTCGGCGAGGAAAACCAGTCCAAGTCGTGGCCAAGTGGCCTTTAGCCCAAGCAGTCAATGCAAAGGACACATGCACATTACATGAATTCTCGTGGGATGCGAGAAAAGCTGAGACGAACTGCTGTGATCGGATGGCAAGCTTGCTTCCCTGAGATGTCGCTCCTGCGCCAGGAGTGCAGCACCGACAGCAGCAGTATTCGAAGAAGAAGAGCTGCCTTAGATAGAAGAAGCAGAAGCAGGCCCTCAAGAAATTCGATGAGACTAAATCCACGTGAGCATGTGTCAATTGTGGCCCTCCGAGCATAGTTTTCCAAGAATAAGATTTTGTTAGAAACTAGATTTTGTTAGGGTCTTTAAACTTGATGCCCGCCCACTCCTCCTACTGTTTCTTTCTTTTTCTTTTTTCTTTTCTTTTCTTTGTGCATATTTGTGTCGAGTTGCTTTAACCATCGGGAGCTCAGATACCTGTGAGGAGCAGAAAAGGAAAGGGCAAGCAGAAAGGCCAAAAGAAGAAGGACAGGAATTAGGAGTTTCCGAGTTTCCCGTCCTTCTTAACATGAAACATATGAACGCTAAACTCATTGAATTGATACACATCTTTCATGCGTTATGGATGCTGGAAGTAACTTTCGACTGCCATTAGCTTCGACTGTCTGAATGCGAGCCATGAGTTCAGTTGGTCAGTCGAGAAACGGTCACGACGCTTAAGCGGCCCATGACGGCCGTTCCCGGTGAAAAGCAGGCCCCTCGCAACTCGTAGCCTCAAGTATTTCGACCCTGACTCACCCGTGGGAGTTGATAACTTCCCTGTTTGATCACTGAAGAGAAACAATAGCAATAGTGGATCCTGATAGCTTACCGTAGCACTGGATAGTTGATTGAATCAGCCAGTTCGATGATCGAAATGGTGGGATCCGAGTTCCCAGAACCTGAAGGTCCAGTGGCTGAGCTAAAAGAAAAAGTATATATATATATATAATCTAAATATACTCCCCTTCAGGAGGACGTAAAAAGGGGAGCTCACAATTGCTGGAGTAGGATCAAGAAGTCATAATCAGGTGTTATCATGGATGTTTGGTTGATAGGTGGTAACAAGAAACCATCAAGAGATGTGTTTGGTTGACCATTAGACCATCAGTTCATTGTCACTCCGAACCATTTTGTTTTGGTTGATTGATTATAACCGTTTCCTTTGATTTGCTTTGCTTTGCTTTGACAATTGAATTGAACCGACTTGTATTGACTTTACTTGATGGATAGATGGATTGATTGATCGATCAGGTTGGATTGGATGTAATGCGAAATGCGCTGAGCCTTCCATTGCACTGATGGATCATCCTTCTATTTGTAACAAAATTAGACTGGCATGTCTGAATCTCTGACATCCAGTGTCGAGACCTCGCGAGACCTCGAGATTGCGCTATATATATATAAGCAATAATATATGTGCTTATGTTACTCGATGAATGACTCATCCCACCGTTCGCCGCCCTTCTTCGCCCGCTGAAACACGGCGCCAGGACGCCGCGCGGGGCGCCCCCGCGGCGCCGAAGGCTCTGCCGGTGGCTGCGCCGGGGTCGGTGCAAGTGGGCGGTGGCTCTGGAGGTTGGACGGTGCCTCGGTGTGAACTCCCGGTGTTTCCGAGAGCCACAGGGAACCTGAGTTCACCACTGCCCGGTGTGTAGAGGAAAATATCGTCTTTCGAAGGTCCATGCCAGGGTCCATGTGGGTCTCTTCCCGACCCAAGCTGGCAGAATTTGAGCCGCGGCCATGGACAGCTTCAAATCGATGACCAGAATCGGATAAACTGTAGACTTTCGAGCCAATTATGTTGATACCAGCAAGGGTGGGAGTATCTAGACCTATCTCCCAGCTGGTTTCAGGGCTGCATGGTCAATAGATTCAATAAAGCCTTAGTTTTCTACTTTTCTGCAGTGCTTTTTTCCGACCGAATGCTCTGACCTTCGACGACCAAGGTTACCGAGTGGTAGATGAGGACGTTTCACTTTTGAGGAAGGCGAATGGCGTGGCGCATGGCGCACGGAAGGAGTGCGGACATTTTCCACTATGGTTCTTGTGACTTTTGAGTTAGATCCTGAACTTGTTTTGGCCCAAAGTGATTGCAACCGCCTTTCTGCATGGTCGGTTCGGCCGCAATCCTTGTAACCACAGCTAGTGTTTTCCATCATCACGTCTCGCACGTGGACAGAAAAAGAGTCGGAACAGGAGATTCTCTGTCAATTTTGATTGTCGATGATGATTTGTGAGTATTGTTGGCTGAACAAATCGTTAAAAACAGACATCAGGCCTAAGCGCAAGTTTGAACCTTCGATTCGATAGGATTTGGCGCAGGCAGTCTGTAATAGGCAGCCTGTTTCTCGATCGGGGTGCTTATGCAAGTTGCTTGGTTCTCCCGATTTACTCCACAGGCTGGCATCCAATATGCCAGGCAAACGGGAGTTGAACCCTGCATGGGGCCGTTGAAAGGTTCGTTTTTTTTCAGACGTCTGCAGATGATGGGTGGGTGCTTTCCAGTGAGACTGAGACCATTTCTGGAAACGCTGCCTTTCCTGTGAGACTTACTCTGGTGTTTTTGTATTCTTGCTTGGAACAGCACCAACGACTGAAACTGACTGTAAGCATCCTGCTTCAGCTGCCATGCCCGGCACGCGTCGTCCAGATCATGTTTCGCCAACGTTGGCTTGAAGAGATCATGAACCAACGTGCCAACCTGCCGAGATTGGTTTTCCATGATCGGAGTGTTGGCTTGCCTTCTACTTCGTCTTGAAGCGGATTTGTGGCTTCAGCATGCCACAACCACTTGGGCTTTGTAGCCTCCAACCTAATAGCATGCTGCTTTCTGGCCAAACATACCTATTTCATTTGGGCTTCGTCTCCGTCACGCGAAGGGAAACGCAATTTTGAAGTCTTGAGGAGACAGGAACCCACCGACGACCTGACAACCAGGGAAACGAAGGGAAGCGAAGGCAGAGAATCCGGAAACCAACCGGAAACATGACCAGACGCGCAAGCATAAGAAAGACATGAAGTGCAACTAGTAGCAAGGACGCTATTAGGTGGAGGCCATCGCAAGTAGGTTGGAGGCCATCGCTCTAGTGCCTCAAGGACCTACTGAACTAACACACATATTGGAACATACACAGCAAAAACCATGTAAGGACCGCGCAGAATCTGTTGTTTTTCATTTTAACAGAACGTTTACATAAGTCTACGGTATTTGTGTGTGATCTATATCATAAGATAGATATTAGATATCCAAATAGCTTGAGTTTCCACACCATCACGGGATTTTCCCTGTCCACATCGCATGAGTTGAGACACCCTCGAGCTCTAACACTCCTGGCACATTGAAGCCAAGTGGCATCCACCAGAGGATTGATGGCCGTGTTTGTCCTTCGATGTTTTCAACTTCTATCCATCCAACCATGCTTCCAAATGTAGAAGAAATGAAACAAGGAGACGCATGAGTTTCAGCCTAATGAGCTTCTGACTGTAACATGTTGTCCTTGGAGCCTAGGGAACGCAAGTGGGCAAGCTTTTCGACACTGTGATAAGATGTTACATGTTGGCTCGGATGCACAGAGGGCACAAGGCACAGAGACAGAGGCAATGTGCAAGCTGGCAACCTATGCACTGAGTCCTTAGTTGCTCTTCATCTCCAGCTAAGTAATGGATTTCTACGAAACCATTCCTTTTTCAAGAGAATGGAGCATTATCACAAAAGTTCACTCTGCCACGGCACTCCTCGCTGCCACACAGGTTTTCAACCGTCAACCCCTTCAACCCATTCAACCCACCTGTGAAAGAGCTCATTCAGCAAGAGTGGTTTTGGGCCCTCGAAAGGCAACCAGTGCCAGTGGTCACCAACTGACCAGGTGGACCGTGACGAGCTTCGGCCGCACCCCCACGTGACTCACTGGAGTCGTGTTTTCCGCTGAGTCTCGGTGTGTCTGCCAACGCCGGTCCTCCGCGCAGCAGCTCTGCGCGTGTGGCGTTGGGGCGCGAGCAGCGTGCCATGCGTGGTCCAGACGGGGCTGAGCCATGAGAGGGACCTTCCTGGCGCTCGGATGGGCTGCGGCATCTGCCAAGGACTGGGCCCACGGTCGTGTGAGAGAGGGCGAGGTCGTCATCGAAGTGAATGAAAGCGTTTGAACGGAGGGAAGAATTCTTTCTTGGCGACTGGCGACTTGAGGAGTATTCAAAGACCTATAGCTTCATGGCAGACCGATTAGAGTGCGAGGGCCAGCCAGAGTCTTAGACCCAACATGTCCTACAATCTTTGCCTGAGCCATCCTGCTAAATCGAGACGCAGAGGCATAGTTCGCCTTTGAGGGTTCACGAGGGTCGACATTCCAGTCGAACATAGTGGGGACGCCACAAAGGGTCGAAGCTGTACAGGTTTGTTTGGTTTCTTTGGATCAACGCGGCTTGTGTAGAGGACGCCACTAGGAGCAAAGGGCACCGCTACTAGGAGCAAGGACGCCACTAGGGGCTCCTGGCCTTACTACTAGGAACAAGAAGCTATTAGGAACAAGAAGCTACTAGGGGCTCCTGGCATCGCTACTAGGAGCAAGGACGCTACTAGGGGCTCTTTGGATCAATGCGGCTTGTGTAGACATATTGGTCAGGTTCTTGCAGCTGAAGTTTTTAGACGCTGATGTTCCTTTGGTCAGAAGCATAGGATCTGAATTCACTGTGATGTTTTGCACATTAAGGTGCACTTATTGCCGCCATGCGCATAATCAGCACAAATGGGCCGAGATTCGATCCAAAATCGGCCACTACGTCTACAGTGATCCAGATGATGACGCATGCCTCCACTTAGATGACGTTGAAATCTGAAACTTCTCCAACTTCTTGCAGGTTTTGCTTTGGGACTTTTGTTTGCTCAGAATTCCAGTAAAAACTTGGAGAGTCTTCCACATCGACAAGAATGGTCTTCCGTTTGCCCTGAGGATTCCGTGCTGGCCAGAACGGAGCACCACCAGGTCACAAAAGCCTTCACTCGACACAGAGAGAGAGAGAGAGAGACAGAGACAGAGCGCAGAAACTCACGGTTCCACCGCTCGTTCCTCACAGCAACTTCGCCTGAGAGGTGCAGAATCTCATCAACTGGTCCTGGACCAAGGGTGTGAATTTCGAATGCATTTTGGGCATTATTGCCTTAAGGCGGGGTTTTTGGCCCGGTTCAGATATTCCTGCCTTCCAAATCTGTTCCAGTTTGTTTGCTCAAAAGGCTGTTGTCCTTTGGCTACTCAGATCCCCTCCAGCAGGATGCTGAGCCATTGATTCATGACGCGAAACGAATGGACCGCCGTTTGACGGTCGTTGGACCGTTGACGATTCGTTTTGAGATTCAACGTCTACGATGATCCGAATTTTGGAGTTCTGGACTTCCTGGATACCTTCAATGCTCATTCAGGCGGTGGATGAGTAAGAGATGACCGAGTCCGATGTTAGGTGTTTCGGTCCTTTGCAGTCGTATCTTCTCTGAGTTTCACTTAATTTTTCCCGCAGATAGCGAGAGCTATTGGGGTTCTTACTTCAAGTATAGGAAGAGGTGCCTGTGTGCGCTTTTGAGCTTGGGTGCTGGCGTTGATGGAGGGCGCTGCAGAGTGCCGCTGCTGTGTGCTGCCCACAAAAGTCTTGTTGTTACAGTATCTGCTGTCTATGCTGCCGTAATTCTGATGCCTTCTGGCCTTCTGGCTCTTCAGCTCCAACATGCAAACAATACCAGAGAAGACGAGTGTGTTGGTTACTTTGTGGCACCTTTGTAAATTGTACCACTCACGCCGCACTAGGCGCCCTGGATTTGCTGACCTCATCCTGGGCGGCATTGCTGGCCGGGGGATGGCCACTTGTTGACCACGGACATCGCATGCGGGTGCTTTTATTTTTTCTTTTTTTAAATGGCGGTTGTGGTGCGAAAAAAACCACCAAGGCCAGTCTTCAAGCAACTGCACCTGGCCTCCAACTCAGAGTGGAAGAAAACAGACCAAGGAGGTGCAAGGAGGACGGTCCACGCTTTTCAGGGGCCCATGGGGTCCCTTTTAGGCCAATGAGTGGGATTTAGGCCCAATGACTTGCTTTGACTTGGCACCTTCAAGCATTGAGGTAAGCAAAAAGTTGATAGATGTTATGGATGACAGGCTGGGACCAGTCCGTGGTAGAACGAAGTAGAACATCTCGCGTGGCCAGGCCAATGAAGTATCCAAACCTCCAAACACGTCCCAATGAATGTGACGAAATGGACGCGGAAGAGGAGATCCTGTTAGAACTAGACAAATGACGCACAACACACACACACAGAGGCACACTAGCTTTACAGATCAAACGCGATGCAGGACTTGAATTACCGCGATGCTGTGGTCCATGGACTGAAATCTGGTGAGGCCGACGGAGCCGACATCGTTTCGGACCTTGTTAGAAACAAGTGCCACGCTAGTAGTAACAGGTGCCTTACTAGTAGTAACAAGAAGCTACTAGGAACAAGTGCCACGCTAGTAGTAACAAGTGCATCGCTACTAGTAACAAGAAACTAGTAGAAACAAGTGCCTTACGACTAGTAACAATGTTTCCGAATCGACTGCGGACGGAGCCGGCCGGACTGCTCAGATGCCGGCGCTCGGCGTCCACCTCCTGGCGATCCGCCGTTCTTCGGGCTGCCCAGTAGGTGTGGGGTACACGTGCGATTTGCCGCTTGCTGTCGATCAAGGATAACAACATGAAACAACATAATATATGGGTATATAAACTATTGTTTTCTTTTAGAGATGAATGAATTAGCAAGGTTTTGCTTAAACAGGACGCCTTATTTAACAGGCACAAAGATATTTTTTTCTGATCTGTCCTCTCTTTTGAGAGAAAGCAATCGAGCTCACTTCTGCTGAGAGTTGCCACGGTTCCTGTGTCCAGCTGCTGTCCAGCTAGGCACCGCTGTGGCTTTGCTTGGAGTCGCCCTGGAAATGATCCGCAGCCGCGGGATGTACCAGGTGTGGTAGGTTTTCTTTGAAAAGCTTCAACGTTCGACGGGTGCGGCACAGGAAACCAGCAACAGCGGGTCAAATATTATCACTATTATTGGGAAAGGTCTGCAACCTAACCATCATCATCCACAGTTGCTTACTGGTAATCTTTTTCTACTGAAGTCAGACCAGACGGTACTCATCCACCTTCGGACATTCGCTGCCTAACGTCACAGCAAGACGGTGTCTGGAGGGCTCCCTGAAAGACTCGGGGAACTTGGTCTATGCCTTGATCCTGACAGCACAGGCTTGGACGTCCGCAATTTGAGCCAAAGAACCTTGCGAACAGTGTTTTCACAGCTGCGAGGATACGTTGAATACCTGGGTGCACACGAAGATGAATTGGCAGCTGACCCGAGTGCTGACACTGATGCTAAATGCCTCGAGCGAGCGAACCGCTGGCATCAATTATCATCCTCAAGCATGAGGTCTCCATTCTTCGACATGCTGACCACAAAGTGGCCGATTTGGGATGCTTGGCCAAACAGGATTTGGAGGCCAACGTCCCAAAGTCGAACTGGAACTACTTGTATGATATTGTATCAGCTGCTCTGCTTTCTGGCACTTGCACACTGTGCCAATCATAAAATAAACCACTTTGGGTAAATTCGATAGTATCTCTTCACTTCAAGCTCGTCGTCCGAAGTGTAGAATCAGGATTCTAGCTCGGCTTCTCACTGTTGATTCCGCACCCGTGCTTTCAGGAGATGTTATCAAGCCTCGCATGTGTAGTTTCCTCAGTGTTGGGCTGACTTTTGGATGATCGGATTGACATCGGCCTCTCCTTCTTAAGGTTGACAGCACTCGACCGTGTGTGACTCGTTCTGCTCTTCAGTCCGAGCCCCAACTCAACTTGCAAAAAGCTGGAGACAGGTTCAAGCTGCCAATCCCTGCAGAAGAGAAGTTCAGCAAGCTCAGGTGCTATGATATGTTGCATCGGGAAAGTGTGTGAAGAGCTGAGGGCTGATATTATGGCTGCGTGTCAAAATTTCGGAATCCGACCACGGAAAATGAACGGAATAATTGGACGACCTAATCAACCTACAGGGTGTACAGGGCTCCGGGTTTTGACCCACAGCAGCCATATGATGTTAGACTTGCTTATATATATATATATATGGATTTCCTTTAGATCTGCAGAGTCCTTGACCACGGACTTGCTCAGGGTGTGTCCACACCAGAGCCCGCAAAGTCGCAGCATCTTTGTAGCCTGTGGAGAACATGATATTTGCACATGGCCAGCCTGTTGCTTAGAGCTACGTCCGTTACATACAATCTAATGGACCTGCATAGCGTCATTCGTTCTCTTGTAGCATCCATATAAGCTGTGATATGCAGATGCGGATAGGACAGCTTCAGCAACCTCGATGCAAAGAGCCACTTGGACCAGCAAAAAGCAAAGAACAGGGAAGATGCAGAAAGCAAGCGCACGTCCAACATGAATGATGCAGAAAGCAAGGCAGAGAGGGAGATCTCCTGAGCCAACCGGTTCGGAGTTTAGTAGTGGGGAACATGGTTTAGCATGTTTTAGCTGGGCTGACTCACTTTTCTGTGCTTTTCTGCGTCAGATTGGTGCCTCAGCCACGAGCTGCGAGCGCCATTGAAAGCTCGGCCTTGGCTTCGGGAACTTAATCACGATGTGGAGGAACGCGTGTCTTGGCAAAGAGAAAGATCAGATGCAACAATGTTGTTAAAGAAAACGGACAAGATATGCAAAGTTCATTAGCTTATATATTCTGCGATCACTTGTTTGTCATACAAATTACTACATGTTTGATTCCTTGTCCAGGTGTGCAGCCAGTGTGGGCAAGATGGAGCTTGGGTCCAAGAGGATCAATCGATTGTGTTTTTTTTTTTCAACAAGAGATGCGCATGCCACACAGTTTCTCATGGGTTTCTGCCAGACTGTGGTATCTAGAACCATGAAACGCCATGAAACAACTGGCGGGAATCTTCAAGCCTAGGTTCTTCGGACCATCTTCCGGAACGTGGGTTTCCGTGAGCAAAGTCCAGATGCTTGGCCTCACTTCGTGGGAATGCTGTCCAGGAAGTGAGTAGCACAGCATGCAGTCCATGACTCATGCAGGTCAAGGGGCAAACATGAGCCACTGCGATGTGTTGCTTTCACATCTAAAAAGGAAACCTGCATGACATTTGTCCTTGTTGTTCCTTTGCACTCCAAGGAAAGGAGAAGTGCACCCTTCTACGTCGCCTTCACGATTTGGGGGCCGAACCGATGCCGCCGTCGTCGCGGTTACAATGACCGAACCTCGCCAGGTGGAGTTTGGAGCACGCAAACCGGGCATGCTGAATAGCGCCGTGCTGCGGGAGAGCCCTCCGTTTTCATTTTGGAATTTGGAGAGCACGGAAATGAGATGTTTATCTTTTTCTTATGTGCGATGTTTACCCCTTCTTTCTTTCGGTTTTGAATTGTTTTGAGTTCTGCACATTTCAGGAGTTCTGCGGCTGGGAAGGTGTGCTTCTGGACTCTCAACCTGGCGAGACACCGCACGGTGGCTGCTCAACGCCTAGAGAGTGATGCCTCAGTGATGTGGACTCTTGATGAATAACCCCCCCATATGAAGAGGACTTTCAATTGTGGGGGGGTTATTATCAAGAGTCTACATTGGTTGTCAAGCATTGAAGATGGGCAAGTCAATATAATATATATATATACATATGTATGTACAGGTTTTATATATACAGTGTGTATATTGCCTTGCTATTGACAGTGTGTATATCATGAACTATTCTCTTTTGGTTATACAGTGTGTATGTATACTGTATATGATATGTTCAGCTGTTCAATCTTCCTCCATGAACCTGGATAGTTGGCCGCTTAAGGTCCTCACTGTCCAGGAGTTTCGATTGTCGCGACAGAGTGGCAGCTCCCAGTTCTCCACTGTGGATGCAATTTGAACGGGTTATATAGTCGACTGGGAGCAACAATTTGTTTAATTTTTCTTGGTAGATTCTTGATATGGGTGTGTATTTCAATAGGGGGACCGTCTGTTTAAGTCTATTTCCCTTCTTCCAGGACGTCGAAAGCGGGTCGGTCTCCCTATTTTAATACTCACCCATAGAGTCCCGAGGTTTCTAAGGATGTTCGCAACTTTTTGTCAAGATCTTTTGAGGAGTCAAAGCATATCAATCCGCCGCTCTGAGGTTCGTGACAGCTGAAAACATTGTAGAATTGTTCAAGAAGTGTGGATCCCAAAAGTACTGCATGGGTGAGTACTGTGCCGCCAAACACGTGCACTTCTCGAGGTACAGTGTACCACATGACTTTGATCTGCTCACGATCGACACGGACTTCAATGACTACTGGACAGCTGATGTGTCAGCTACCGGAGAACTCGGACCCGAGACTCGAAGAACTCGTGGAAACACCGGGAGCTCTTTTCGTTCGCTCCTGTTGAAGCTAGCCGTTGCCTGGCGCGTGGCTCAGCAGGATTTGGCGCGCCTTGCTGATGGATGGCACCTTTCGACCACGGGTAGGGATCCTGGGACCGTTCACGGCAGCGGCGAAGGCGTGCTGAGACCAGCGAAAGCGAGCTGCCCTCGTTTTGGTCCCTGCAGGTAATTTCATGTCTCGTTTGAAAGACCAGCTGCCTTGTGAGGTCGTAGCAGTGGACTTCAATCCTGACATACCCTTGCATGAGGCAAAGGTTGTGAGGCCGGTGTGGATGTGTTCAGCTGGCACATTGCCAAAGATGCAATCTTATGGTCTTGAAAGATCACATTTGCCTCCCAATATCTTTTTTTCTCCGACTCGGGCTCTTTCTACAGGGAGTTTCTGTGGTACAGTTGCGCTTTTGGGATGCCAGGTATTCTGCGATGGCAGAGTGGGATGGCACCATTTACACTGTGGGTGGGCATTCGTGTGGCATTCATTTGGTGCACTTTCATTCACAAAGCATCGACAGTTTTACTTCGAGTCTTATCCCAAGCTGCTTGTAGTTGCCGCTTTGAGTTCTTTCTATTTTTCTGTCTATTTTGTTATTGGGTGTTGGATTCTCTTCATTTGTCAATTATTGGTTTCGGCGCAGGGTCACTTCTGGCTTATGCCTTGATGGCCAGAGCTCATGGCTACTCTTTCGCGTATGCACTGGAGCGGATCACGTTTGGAAGAACATCTGACCACTTGCATGGCAAACATCATCCTTGTTTTTGATATTAACATAATTGGCAAATCGTATAGCTGCACTTTGTTGGTGATTCAAAGCCCAAAATCCTGGGTGGAAGCGACTTGTCATAATCAGCGACGGTTAAGAAAAAGCTTCTCAGCGACTGAATGTGCCCGTTGGACGCATGAGGAGATGGGATCGCATGCCTTCTTCGTGCGCTCGGACCTGCTGCATGAGGAGGCCGGGACCTGCTGATCATAGGCGCTTCGTTTGAAGAGACGGTATATGAAGCATTTTAGCCCGAGAGGAGTTGCATGCATCAGCTCTTTTAAACATATGGCAGGATGTCAACATGCCATTGTTTGAAGCTGAGAACACGTGACACGTTTTTGTCGATGTATGTGGCGTACTTGTAGCTGGAAGCAGACAACTCTAGTAGATTCAATGTGGCTTCATATCAAGTCAGCTGGGCTCAGCTGAGGCGCTTTGTCAAGAAGAATTCTCACCCACCTGTCCCTGCCCTTGACAAAGCTTTGTATTCATTAGAGACGTGAGACCATGTGAGAATAGCGGCATAGCGTATTGAGACCATGTAGCCCCTAGTAGCTTCTTGTTACTAGTAGCGATGTCAGGAGCCCCTCGTAGCGTCCTTGCTCCTAGTAGCGTTCTTGCTCCTAGTAAGGCCAGGAGCCCCTAGTAGCTTCTTGTTGCTAGATTATTTGATGAGTGCAGCCCAGGATCCGAAACAACGTGACTTCGTGGACGTGCTCTATGATTTCATCCCAGGTAGGAAGGAGCCAAATCAGATTTGAGCGGCCCAGAGGAGTATGATAAATTATCCCGGCAAGAGACCCCAAACAGTGTGTGTGAGGTCTGTAAGCAGAAAGTCTAGAGATCTAGACGCATTGGGGTCCAGAGAGGTGATGGTGGTGATGAAGTGAAGGTGGGTGTGAGTGAGTGTGGGTGAGAGGGAGTGTGCGTGTGAGTGAGAGTGGGAGAGTGAGTGTGAGTGCGGGGTGTGAGTGAGAGTGAGTGTGGGTGAGAGTGAGAGTGAGAGTGAGAGTGGGTGTGAGTGTGAGTGTAAGTGAGCGTGAGTGAGAGTGAAGGTGGGTGTTAGTGAGTGTGGGTGAGAGAGAGTGTGTGAGTGAGTGAGAGTGGGAGAGTGAGTGTGAGTGAGTGCGAGCGTGGGTGAGAGTGAGAGTGAGAGTGAGTGTGAGCATGAGTGAGAGTGAGTGAATGGGAGTGAGTGTGAGTGTGAGTGAGAGTGATAGTGGGAGTGTGAGGGAGTGTGAGTGTGAGTGAAAGCGGGAGAGTGAGAGTGAGAGAGTGAGCATCTGAGAGCACAAAGTACTGCGCCTGCCACGAAATCTTCACCAAGTGCTGTGCCTGCCACGAAATCTGCACTTCGAGGTTCACCATGCGCTGTGCCTGCCACGAACTCTGCACTTCCAGCTTCACAAAGTGCTGTGGCTGCCACGAAATCTGCACTTCGAGGTTCACCAAGTGCTGTGCTTGCCACGAAATCTGCACTGCCACGCTCACACCAAGTGCTGCACCTGCCACAAAATCTGCGCGTCGAGGTTCACCGAGTGCTGTGCCTGCCACGAAATCTGCACTTCCAGGTCCACCAAGTGCTGGTGCCTGCCACGAAATCTGCGCGTTGAGGTTCACCAAGTGCTGCGCCTGCCATGAAATCTGCACTTCGAGGCTCACATTTGCACTTCGAGGTTCACAAAGTGCTGTACCTGCCACGAAATCTGCACATCGAGGGTCACAGAGTGCTGTGCCTGCCACGAACTCTGCGAACGAGCCACATGTCCAAAAGTCACGATTCACTGCACCTGTCACGAAATCTGAGCTCCTCGACGGTCACCAACATGTCCAAAGTGCTGCACCTGCCACAAAATCTGTTTTCGAAGTAAAACAGCTCCGATCCCTTGCGCCTGTCACGAAAAGTCGACTTTGAAGCACCAGAACACGAGGTTTCCCCTGCGCCTGCCACGAAAAGTGACCACCATGTACCAAAATGCACACTGAACGCAGTCGCTTAAAAACCCGCCGCCGGCAGGCAGATTTGCGAGCCTGCGCAGTCGAGGTGCACATGGACGATGTCGAGAGGCGCTTTTTGCAGCGAATTAGCCGATCACGGCCGCGCGCTTCAGCGATCTAAGCATCAGCTGCTTTTCACTTACCGTAAGAACCCCTCAGTGTGCCCACACTGTTTGGGGAAAAAACACCGTAAACTGTAAACGCGATGCATTTCCACCATCTTCTAATGTCTCAACGTCAGAGTTGGAGGTGAACGCGTGGGAGCTGCTAGCAGCCAGGACGATTCAGATGTCAACATGGTGGCTGTTTACGTTTTTGTAACCTCTTTGCTTTCCGTTTGGATGTGATCGAAGCAATCACTCAGAGGCAGTGGAGGCTGTGGGTTCGCAACGCCCGGCAGGACTCAGATCTTGTGACGGAGGCGCAAGATGGATTTGACGAACTTCAGATGAGCGTCTCGTTGTAGATCACCATCCATTTTTCCACACATCTTAGTGTGGGGTTCTTCTTTTCTATGTCTCATCCGCCTCCCGCCGCCTCCCGCCGCCCGCTTGCCGCCGCCTCCGCCTCCTCCCTCCACACCGAGACAACACATACAGAGACAACGCGCGCAGAGATCACACACACACAGAGACAACACACACACACAGATCATCCACACAGATCATCCGAGACAACACATACAGAGACAACGCACACCGAGACCACACACACAGAGACCATACACACCGAGACAATACATACAGAGACAACACACACCGAGACAACGCAGACAGAGATCACACACACACAGAGACCACACACACAGAGATCACACACACAGAGACAACACACACAGATCATCCACGCAGATCATCCGAGACAACACATACAGAGACAACACGCACCGAGACAACACGCCCAGAGACAACACACACCGAGACGCCGCCAGAATTCGTGGCAGGTACAGCGCTCTGTGAACCTCCATGCGTTAGAGGCTCTGGCTGTTGCGTGGTCGGCGGTGGTCGCCGGTCCGTTCCTCCATTGTGATTAGAGTTTTCACTTGTTTCTTGACGAGCAGATTCCGTGGCAGGCACAGCGCTTTGTGAACCTGCATGTGCAGATTTCGTGGCAGGCGCAGCGCTTTGTGAAGCTCCATGCGCAGATTTCGTGGCAGGCGCAGCACTTTGTGAAGCTCCATGTGCAGATTTCGTGGCAGGCGCAGCACTTTGTGAACCTCCATGTGCAGATTTCGTGGCAGGCGCAGCACTTTGTGCACCTCCATGTGCAGAATTCGTGCTCCGTTAGAGGCTCTGGCTGTTGCGTGGTCGGCGGTGGTCGCCGGTCCGTTCCTCCATTGTGATTAGAGTTTTCACTTGTATCTTGACGTGCAGATTTCGTGGCAGGCACAGCGCTTTGTGAACCTGCATGTGCAGATTTCGTGGCAGGCGCAGCACTTTGTGAAGCTCCATGTGCAGATTTCGTGGCAGGCGCAGCACTTTGTGAACCTCCATGTGCAGATTTCGTGGCAGGCGCAGCACTTTGTGCACCTCCATGTGCAGAATTCGTGCTCCGTTAGAGGCTCTGGCTGTTGCGTGGTCGGCGGTGGTCGCCGGTCCGTTCCTCCATTGTGATTAGAGTTTTCACTTGTTTCTTGACGCGCAGACTTCGTGGCAGGCGCAGCACTTTGTGAACCTCCATGTGCAGATTTCGTGGCAGGCGCAGCACTTTGTGAAGCTCCATGTGCAGATTTCGTGGCAGGCGCAGCGCTTTGTGAACCTCCATGTGCAGATTTCGTGGCAGGCGCAGCACTTTGTGCACCTCCATGTGCAGAATTCGTGCTCCGTTAGAGGCTCTGGCGGTTGCGTGGTCGGCGGTGGTCGCCGGTCCGTTCCTCCATTGTGATTAGAGTTTTCACTTGTATCTTGACGTGCAGATTTCGTGGCAGGCACAGCACTTTGTGAACCTCCATGTGCAGATTTCGTGGCAGGCGCAGCGCTTTGTGAAGCTCCATGTGCAGATTTCGTGGCAGGGGCAGCGCTTTGTGAACCTCCATGTGCAGATTTCGTGGCAGGCGCAGCACTTTGTGCACATGAACAGCACTGTGTGAACCGCCATGCTCCGTTAGAGGCTCTGGCTGTTGCGTTGAAGGCGGTGGTCGGCGGTTGTCGGCACACGACCTGCTTTCGTCTGCGCGATGAAAAAGAGCTTGGCTATAGAGTTTTACGTCGGCTGCGCGATGGATGGGGTTTTACTTCGGCTAGTTGTGGCTGTACACACATGTATGCGCAATACCTCGTACATCCGCCGTGCACATTACTCTCCCACACCTCTCTCCCACCCCTCTGTTGTGTAATTCTGATATAGTAATTCCTGACAAGGCCATGTTGTAGAAGCTATTGAGACTCTGACTGCTTTGTGCTTTTGAAACTTAAGATTCGTAAAAACTCATATGTGGGGTTATCCGGTCCTTTAATTCCTTAAGCAAAACTATTACTGTATATGTTTATATATACGACATATTACCTGTTTTTTTGTCTTCGTCAATTGAAACTACTTGGTCAAGACCTATGAACTACTAAAGTGCGCGACAAAAATACATCGACCGTGCTCTGCGATGTCTGAACCAGCGGCAGGTGCAGCGGCTTCGCCGTCAATTGCAAGAACTGCAGGCGGTGCTTTCTGGTTATGCGAGCAACAACATGACTGTTTGCAAAAACACGATTGAAGAACAACAATTTGACACACTTGCAAACAGATTAGATTCTAGATGATTCTAGGTCAGGGTCTCAAAACTTTTCAACTTGCAGAAGAGCCTTCACTTTTGACATGGTCTCACCCAGGGCACTCCAGCCGTACCCAATGACCGGAGGAGAGCTATCATGAAATGCCAGAGTTGAACATGAAGACGTATTTTGCATTGACCAAGGGCGCACACATGTATTTTTTTCCATATTATTGATTCATGATACCTCTTCCAGCCCTTCAATGATGATGATAAGCCAGGAGCAATGGACCCCTGTCGCCAGGAGAGACCCCGACTGTTGAGCATTTTCCATTTCTTGAGTTTTGTGTTGTTGTTGGCGGGGAGTTGTTGTTTCTGGCACAATGACTGGGGACATGTTTTGTTTCCGGCTCTCAAGAAGATCCGGACATTTATCATTTGCTCAGCTGTTAGTTCTGCTTTCCATTCAATTCTTCTACATTGCTTCTTCACTTTTCTGTCTCACTGTTTTGGTCGACAGCTTTTGCCAGGGTTCACCGTGTCCGCAGCGACAAGCTTCTTCGAGGGTGTTAGATCCCTGGGCTAAGAAGAAAAGTCGCCTGCCTGCTGATCCGTGGGAAAGCACCTGCTGAGAGGGGGGACATGCTTGATTTTTGATTATATTTGGCTTTGTAGGTTCTTCTCTTGGCACGAAGACATTGAGAATTGGTTCGATGATCTGACTGGTGCTTGACAGAGAAAGAGGGAATGGATCCCTTAAAAAAAAGTATCTAACCCTATAAGGTATATCCATATATACCTGCATCTATAGTGAGGGGTCATTCTCTCGCTTCCTACGAGTGTCACCACGGTTTCCGGTGAGTTCGCTTCCTCTCGCGAACCCGGCGATCTCGGCTCCAGAGCGGCGAGCCACCGCTCGGGCGAGTCATCGGGGCCAGTCCGTTCTCCCTGGCCGCTGGTTTTGGACATCGCCATGGTGCGGTCCTCGCGAGTTCGCGGTTATGGGAAGTTCGGGGTTATGGCATGAAATACGCTTTCATCTCTACCGGACATGGCCATAGGACAGGATAGGACTTTCTTTTCAAAACCCAAAGAGTGATGCGAGCTGTATTCATTTGCGAAGATGCGAGAGCCGGGCTTTGTTTGATGTTCATTCCGTCCAGGGGCGATCACGCTCCCGGGAGAAGAGGTTCGGAGGGAAGACGTGCTGTGATTCGCATCTGTTTGCACGTCCAAAAGCAACCTCCAAAGAAGCGAACACTAAGCGTCCTTGTTACTACTAGTAAGGCACTTGTTACTAGTAGCGATGCACTTGTTACTAGTAGTGATGCACTTGTTACTACTAGTAAGAGGATGGATGCGTTTTTGACGCTTTGAGTCGTCTTTCGCTTCTTTCAACGTACTCTTCTATCTCTTCTGATCTGGGTGTGGATGAAGTTGAGCCGGAATCCCTGCAAGGGCGTCCTTTGTGATTTTTTTGCAAGCGCTTCAGGCGGGACAAAGAAAAGGACAAGGCGCCTTTCAATTCCTACCGTAGATCTACTGTAGTGGACCATGCAAAGCTAAAGATTTGGTGACGTGCAGCGCCTTTCACCTCTCAGGAGAAGAAACGAAGTCGATCCAGAGAAAAGCGGGAGAAGAAGCGAAGCAGGCCACGCGGACCCGCGGGACCCGCGGGACCCGCGGGACCCGCGGGACCCGCGGGACCGGACTCTCTGGGCTACTGCCCGCCGCTCGAGGGACCACAGGTGGTGTGGTGTGGTGAACATGCCAAAAGCGACCTTCATGGGGCGGGTGGACCATGTGTCACAGCGAACAAACAGTCTCTAACAACGTGGTTGTTGTCCAGCAAAACAATATCTATTTAACATACAATGTATAGCTGGCCACAGTCACATCTCCCTTCATGACGCTCTCCATATGCCACCATCTCAACTCCAACATTTTTTAGGGGGCACATCTAGCAGAGCAACATCGTTTGATAAAGACACGCGGGCCGATGCAGCACGGGGTCACCCAGGTCATCGAACGTTGAACATCGCAAGGTCCAGAGAGAAGGACAAAGAGAAAAAGGAAAAGAAAGAGAAAAAGGAGCGCACGTCTTGGCATGTCTTGCTGCGTTCGACTTGCAGCCCGAGCAGCACGAGTAGTGCCCTTTTGGCACAAAAAGGACTCAAACTCGTCAATTGAGAGTTGCAGGAAGCCTTTGCTTTGTTTCAATTTAGACTCTGGTGGATTAGCGGATCTCTACGCCCGGATCTTTCGGAGCGGGACAGAGTCGCCAGCAGCTTAGCGGCGCGGCGTTTGTGCAGGAGAAGGCACCACCACCAGAGGACAGGGCATCGAAACAGAGTCCACGCACTTTTGGGTCGTTTTGGAGTTAACCCAAGCTGACTCCAGGGCATCCAACATGTTGGGAAGGGGAAGAGAGATGCTCAGGCATTGAGGCAAGAAGACCACCAGCAAGCCCCTGTGACCTTTTTCCACTTATTTTGGAAATTCTTTTTCATTGCTTTATATACCTGTATTGAGGTCGAGACTAGACAACAACAGTAACGTCACAAGTCAACATGTGCATTCTCACTTGTTGGCATCTCATGTTCTCTTGTACAGTACACAGGCAGGGGCTCTATATATTGCAATGCAACTTCATGACCTCACCTGGACCTCGTCATTTGTAGATCTCAAAGGAATGTCAAAACTTTAATCAGGTATATATATCTCTATATATATATATGTATGGGAACCGGGGCAGCATATGCGGGTGCAGTTGGGTGTGATGCACTTCAATATCTCAAGGGAATGTCAACCTCACACCCAACTGCCCCAGTCCCAACATATGCTGCTCCGGTTCCCACACAGTGCCATGAGTTTTCGATGAAACACTTTGGGAGACGATGAAACGGTTCGGGCGCAAAAAACACACGGTGAAAACACCCACATAACATGTGCTCTTTTTGGGATGTGGCTCAAACATTTTGCGATCCAGGACCAGCAAGTATTTTGGTTCATTTGTCATTTTTCATCTATATACAAAACGTGTTGTATACCAGACACAGCCCGACACAGCCTTCTGATTCATATCGGCTTACCAAACATAGCTTCTTTGAGGAGGTTGAAGGTAAAAGGGGACTTATCCCTTGCACATGATACAACGATTTCTATTTGATGCTGAGACAGCATTCTTTCAAGTCTGTGTGGTTCTACTTATAACTATATATATTGAATCTTCTTGAGACCCTTAGTGGAGGCTAGGGAAAGCCTTGGCCTAACCTTTAGGCAAGTTGAAGCAAGTTGACATGACCTTCAGATACTCAGGGAAAGCATATATATATACATACACACATATTGTTTTTGTTATTGTCTCATTCTTGTGAACTGCACCAGGAGGAACCCCGAAAGAGGAGCCCTTCCATGCAGTACCGGCGCTGGCGTTTTGACAGCCCAAGACCAAGTTTTTCTGTGCTGCAATACGAGGTTGGAGGCCATCACTAGTAGGGGGAGGCCATCGCTATTAGGAATTGAAGCGGACTGGACGAGAAGCTACCTTTTCGAAAAGCTCACCAGGCCCGCCAAAGGAGGACGAGTATCAGCGCGACGCCATGCTGACGGGCAACCCGATGGGAATAGGCGGTTGGGACTTGAGACTTTTTCTTTGTGTCGCTTGGGGGTGTTTTGTTTTCTCTCTTTTGTGGTGACAACACTTTCCAAAACATGAGTTTCCGCATGATTTGTGCACCTTGAATTTTGTGAAAGCATGTAGAGTCAGTGCTTGCTCAACACTTTCGGCTTTTCCAGATAAGTATAGAAGGGATTCAGCGGGACCCATGGGCAGCTACTTGTGCCGGGAAGAAGTTCCTGTGGAACATGGACACCACGTGCACAAGATGTGTTTCCCCATGTACGTGCTGAAGGCCTGAATCAGCATGCATGAGTTAGACTAGACGCGAAACGCTGGCCTTGAACTGAACTATGTTCAAAATGCCTCGTCAAATGCCGAAGGCTCGTTTCGTTTAGCCCGTGTCGTCGGCGTCAGGTTTCAGATTTCTTGGAACTTGGAGGAGCTCCACCACCTCATTCGGAGCTTGAAGAGAAAGGCCTTCTTTATGAATGGAAGGCGGGGCCAGACTCCGCTGACCCCTATTCATGTTTCATAGTGCTCGGTTGTGGGCAACTTTGCTTGTGAGGCTGGCATGTTTGTTCTCTTTGTCTCTCATCAATGGCTACATACCGCACACCCTGACCCTTGTGGAAGTCAATCATTGGTTCTTCGCGAAGTCCTCGAGGGATTGCACTTGGGCGGCACTGAAGATGGCCAAAGAAAGAAGAGGGCTTAAGATGGCTAGAAGCTGTAATGTGAACACTGTTTCTTTTGTTTAATAGTTGAGTCGTTTCAGATGACTCAGACTCAGATGACCGTCTTTGCACTAGTTGAGTGTCTTTGCATCTCTTGGGATTTCTTTAGGAGCAGCCCTTCCGGTTCTGCTTTTTTCCGTCGTTCCTGAGGATGCAGGGTACCCTGACTGTTGAGACGGATCTCATCTCTCAAACCTACAAGTCACAGCAGAGCTTTGATGAGCAGGAGCTTCTCAATGCCTATATTTGGATGGACTGGTTCTCCATTCCTCAGGCAAAGTTGCTGAAAATTCTTGGAATCTTGATATTCGAACCCAGGCACTAAGATACTTCGGAAGTGTGTCCGCCACCAACAGTCTGTCAAGAATTCTCATCAAATTCTCATGTTTTTCTTTGCAAAATGGACGCATCAGGTTCGAGCTCGTGCTCGAGGCATTGATGAGGAAGAGACCCGAACCGAAGCCTCAAAAGCCATTCAATCCATTCCAGCTTATGTGGAGGTGTCCTCTGCCTTCGTTGCTTTAGTTCCCGCAATCAAAGAACAGAGCTCTGCACATGGCTTCGATTATACCACCTGGATAACTCGAGGCATGGGTGCCTGCCTGGATTTTTTGCTCGGTGTTGGAAAGAGGATTGAAGATATCGAAGAGACCTCGCGACCTCGTGTGCAGGTTGGTGTCGAGCTGAATTGTGGTGTCACTTGCTCTCCACGAAGAAAGACACCAGTGTCATAGTGGTTCACTCTTCCAAGGAGCTCTTTGCATCCTTCCCCGTTGCACATGTTTTGGCACGTTTCGAAAGGTTCTTACAAGTTGAGTAGGTCGAGTTGCCCAGTAGTTGTGCACCTGAGGAGGTGAAGTTCATGTATCCAATGGATTGGCAATACAATTTGATTTCCGACGGTGAATTCACCGTCGAAGAAGACCGCGAAGTCGTGGTCCAACTGGGAGACAGAGCTGTCGAGCACAAGATCAAGCACTTGGGCAAGGAATTCTGAGAGAGAGAGAGAGAGTGAGCGGTCGAGATACCCAGTTCTGATTGTTCCAATCTGGCTATCGAGATCATTCGAGATCCTTTACATAGGAAGTTTTTTTTTTGGGAGCTTCAGCCCTTACTTTCTGCTTTGGACGTTTCTTTTTCCCCTTTTATTCCAGAGCTTGGTGTTTCACCTCCGGATGAAACGCGTGAAAGCACCCGGCAGGATGGTCCCGTGGATCTTTACCGCTTTTATTTGGCTCATCGTGGAAAGCTCCTTGGGCAAGCGAAGAGGGAACGTACCTTGGAGGCGCGGTGTTTCTTCTTTTTGCGTCGGATTCGACCGAATTCCTTGGTATAGATGGAGCTTTTTCAAGTGTTTTTTTCTTTTCAAAGCTGAAGTTCTACGAAGTCCAAGCATGTATAGCCTCCATAGCCTCCCAAGTGTGTAAGTACCATCCTGCGCAACACCTGGCGGCGGCTCAACGCCTGATGTTCGTCAGGAGTTTCTCGATCACTTTCGCTTCCCGAACTTGGAAGCAGCGGTGAACGACACTTCTAGCATGTGCCCTGGCCGTAGGAAATGCAGGCCATTGGCTGTGGGTCGAAACTGGGACACCCTGGTTGCTGGGGAGGTGCACCTACTAGGGATTAGGAGGTCCGGTGCCATGACCCACAGCCAGATCAGTTGTCATTGATGGTGGCAAGAGGATTTTTGCTGCATACGACTCTTTTGCAGGAATGCGACTCTCTGTGCAATGTTTGCATCCGATGTGGGAATGCTCCGTGTTCTCGCTTACCACAAAGCGGATTTGAACATGCGCATGAAAGGCCTCAGACACTTGGCAAAAGAACCGCGGGTGCCACAGTGCCATTGGTCGATTCGTCAATCCATGCGGTAAAAACCAAGCAGTTTCCGAGTGGGTTTTGAGTGCCCAATTCGAGGTGCACTTGGGTACTACGACAGCCAGACCCTCCTCATGGCAGCCGCAAAGTCACGGCAGGAGCGCGTCGGCAGGTCCTGTAGTCAGTCCAAACCCCCGTAGATGAGCGCTTCCCTGCTCAGGGGCCAGAAGTCTTAAGTGCACTGATCGAGCTGCGGGCTGATGTGAACGCAAGATCCAATAATGGTATGAACTGCGCGTTCCTTGGAGGCCGCTAGTGGAGGCCATGGCTAGTAGGTTGGGGGCCATGGCTAGTAGGTTGGAGGCCATCGCTATTAGGTTGGAGGCCAATATTTTTTCATGTCCAGTTGGCATGTGGAAGGCACCCTTTTAATCCGCTGAACATCGCCTCGTTGATCCGCATCTTCTGAGGTTTCTGGCCCGAACACCTGAACAGGTGCAAGTCTTCATCGAAGCAAAAGCGGATTTGCACTCACACTGCGAACCTTTAGGAGCTGGCTCTATGTATTTTTTGCAAAAAAAGCTGTTCGCATGGAGGTTTTCAAGTTCTGAGTCATGGAGTCATGATCCTTTTTCAAAGGTTGATGCTTTTTTCTTGTTTCCACTTGGAGGACTGACACCCTTGGCAGGGGTCGCAGCAATGGCTTCGCCAGACACTGTGAGGGCCATGCTGGATGCTGCTTACGACCCGAATCCGCAGCCGTGTGGCGTGGGACACGGCGCCTCGGACGAAGGGTGATGCCACAGAAAGTGGGGAGATCTGGGAGAAAACAAGTCACAAGAACAGGAGATAGATGAGATAGGAATAGAGATGAGGAAAAAGAAGGAAGGTCCCCTTCAAAAGAAGGAAGGTCCCCTTCAAGATCCTTTAAGGGGGCCTGATGAAATGGTCCTTGCCGTTCCTTTTCATCCTTGAGAACGGCGGGAAGGTAGAGAACCTTTTGGCGGGTCCGGCGGTTATCGTGAAGTGACTGTAGGTTTTGCGTTGGTCTCAGCCCGCCCGCCTACATAGGCCCTTTGCACGGCGCGATCATGGTTTCTCGCGGCAACAGATATGCTGCAGAGACAGCTCGGCTTTTGCTTGAGCACAAAGCAGATGTGAATTCACGTTGCGCTCCCTCGGGGAACTTTCGTTGGAAATCTATTGCCAGCTGCACCTATGCCCCTCGGACTCAAAACACAGTTAACGAGAGTCTGACTATTATGAGATATGGATTCGCGGGAAGGTCTGACTATTTTAAAAATAATCATACCACGTAATCGTGCTTTCTGGAACTGCTGCCTTTAGGCATTGCAAGCATCAACTAGAGCATCCAATGACTTCAGCTGTTATGAAGCCCTGCGTCATTCAGCCCCGCGTGAGGCTTCGATCATGGGGCTGGACTCCATTTCACAGGCGACCAAGCAATTAGCCTGTCTATCAGGAGGAACTCCGTTGGACTTTGCCGCCTTCGTGGGAGATGAGGATTGGACAAAACGTGGTTCAGTGGGTCACATGAACAATTTGGACAAAACATCGATGGCTTGGGCGCTTGGGTCCGTTCAATTTATTTTCTTGGTTGGCTCCGAATACAAAACATCACCCGGGTGTGGACCTCCCCTCAACACTGGAGCTGTGACTTCTGTGACTTCAGCAAACTGGAGCTGACCACCATGTTTTAGCGCTCAAAAGGAACAGCAGCAAAGAACCATTCCTCCTGACAAGAGCGTTCCCTGCTGCCAGGAACTTATCAGGTTGTTGTGGCAGTATGGAGCTGAACCCCTGGGAAACGACATTGGCGTCAAGCCAAAGGACCCGCGTTGTGTTGCTCAGAATCGGACGGATAGACGGATAGGTTGGACGAAAACGCTTGTGAACTTGCGCATTTGCTGGAAGAAGAAAAGGAAGAAGAACAAGAAGAAGAACAAGAAGAAGAACAAGAAGAACCGCACCAAACACAAAAAAAAGAAGATAAGGGATGATTGCTGGAGACAAGAGCACCAGGATTGGGCTTTCACCAAGGGCCATACGCGGGTTTTTCGGCTGCTGGACACCTTCACAGTGTAAGGCGTGCGGACTCATGTGGACGAACGGAAGACATCGGCCCATGGGGGCGGAAGACGGAAGAATTCATTGCTTTCTTATTTCATGCGGTGTACTTAGAGACACATGAGATTTTGATAAAGCCTCTTTTCCCACCTTGCGCATGGTTGGACTCTTGGATTCTTCCGGGTGTGTTTGAAGTCTAAAGACAGTGATCAACTGCCAGGCTCACGCAGATCGTTTGCGTGGCCTTGTCTGCCATGAAGATCTCATTTTTCGCTCGGAGAACTCAGATTGTTTAAAGCTGGTTGCTGCAGAAAGTGCAGTCAACAGACCATGATTAGAAATTTGTACATTTCTGGAACTCTTGATGTGCAATTAGTGGACCCTGTATAGTTTTTTGAGCCCATAGCACGCCTTGTCGAAGGCAATGGCTGCTATAGACACTGTGCGATCCTGTTGCTTTCAGCTTCCAACGTGCCGACTTTGGAAAGCTCTCTTCAGCGGTCATGCTCCAGTTCTTAGTCAGTGTCATTCGGACGGGAAGGCCTTTTGGCTTTGTAAGTCTCATTTCAGCTGACTTGTCCCCAGCTCCATTTTTGCTTTACTTTAGTTTTACCGTTTATAGTTAGTTTTGTCCCTCATACCCGTGAGTGCAAAGGAAAAATGCTCGGTGGTTTAAGCTTTGTAGGTTCTCAATGCCAACCCTCTTGATCACTGGCACGTCCATGATGTTCACTTTTGATTCGCTGGGATGCTAGACTCCCTGGCACATATAGAACGCTTTTGATTAGATTTTTGACCTGATGGTGTCATCAGGCGGTGTAGCTGCTGCTCTCCAAGGAGGTCTAGCTCTGGCAGGTGCTCGGCCACATGGTTGGACACGGGATCCGATAGGTGCAGACGCTTCTTTGATTTTGTTTGATTTTGTTGCTGCTTCGCGCCAGGTGTCTCCAACACCACCAACCCCATGGCGCTCGCCGCGGATACGAAGGCCTGAGCTTGGATGAGCGCCGCAGCTACGCTCGTCCTTGCCCCGAATCGAACCCTCCCTCATGAGCTTTCGGCAGTTTGGCACAGGTTTGGCAAGTAGGCCAGGCATTGGGGTTAACAGTGGCTTTGGTCTAGTGCCGTGGAAGCACACTGTGTGACCGCCACCAGTCAATTGATTTCTGAAAGTTGAAACAAATTAATGTCAATGTAGACCATTGATGAAGAACCGCCCTGTCTCCAGAATGGTTTGACATCCCCGGTTCTGAGGTTTTGGGACTCCTCAACACTCCATGACTGGGAGGTTTGGGACTCGTCCTCGTGTAGCTTTGGGGGCAGTCAGGCTGCTCGAGAGCTGTACCTGGGCAATCTTCCAGCTGGCATTACTGGCCAGCAGTGGATGCCTTGGATCAATGTGAGTGTTATTCTTGCTGCCCTTGTGCTGCTGCAGCCAAGCAGCCTGGTGCCAGGCTGATGCAATTCTTGAACCAGGCAGGTGGACTTGGTCTTCGAAGGGGGCCCATGAAAGCTGAAACGAGCGCTTGTTTTCTTCCGTGTTCTGTGCTTTTTTGGCACTCCCATGGTGTTCCAACACCTTGGCTCTGAAGGGCAGGCTTCATGTTCGTTTGACATGAGTTGATCAAATGCACCTCTTAGATTGGAACATCACTGTCCTCTTACACGAACCTGAGATGTGATATTTATCTCTCAAACCAACCGGACCAATCTTTGGACCAGCTCAAAAAGCTATGACTTCCATGAACCCTCACAGACAGAGCCGACAAAACGCCGAGCAGCGGACAGACGCACCGGTCCCCATGGGCCGACGTTGAGTAGCCGAAGTGACATGGAGGGAGTGCCTCAAGGGGCATCGTGCTGGGCTTAGATGGCGTTTTCTGTTCTTTCTTTTCAACATACTCAATTGTGGGGTTGAACCATTGCAGAACAGTTGTCAAGACATTACAAACATCACCAACACATCTCAAAGGAATCAGGTGGAAGCTTGATTTTATGGATGTGCTCTGATTACAGCTCTCGTCCAACATGGAGTTTGCCTCCAGAGGCCCTCTCACAAGCAAAGCAGTTGGATTGTGCCCCGAGCCCAGAGCAGTGGGAAGTGGGAAGTGCTAAACTTTGAAGAGCATTTTGACACTTTCCCAGTTTTGGTTTATTGGCAAGGCAAGAGCTGCCAACTGTGGGCTGGGCTGGAGCACTCAGAGACGCACTAACTGCAACCGCACCACTTGGTTCGATGATTCGCTGAAAGTCCAGCTGCAACCGGAGGACTGTCAGTGGAGCGACTGACACCGCGCCCAGGTGGTCAAGACCATGCCCGGCCAAGGCGACACCGAAGCTCGGGAAGCTCCCGAGGGCGCTGCAGGCGAGGGTTTTGTTTGCATGGCGGAGGGTGGCGCATGTTGGAAGTGACAGGTTCAAGAGGTCACATTCTCTCAACTGGGATATTGTGAGGAATCAGTTTTTCCATTCTTCCAGTCAGGAATGCAAGACTCACACAGAAGCTCGTTGTATTTGTACCGCAAGCAACTCCAGCTTCTTTTTTCAGTGACGAAGTCAGACTGGTTGCCCAGGTTCTCCAGAGTTTGAGCCCTAGCTCCTTACAATATGATGAAGCCGGCGGCAGTGCGATCTGAGACATTAGGCCAAAGACGCATGCGCAAGACGTGCAGCATGGAGGTGAAGATGCACACTCTTCCCTTTGATCCGCTGCATTTCTTTGGTTCATTCTCAAGATTCTAAGAGCTTGTTGACTGACATGGATTTCATTGGATTTCAATCGCATTGTGGACACTCCTAGCTTTGCTACGCTTTGCTGATTTGAGCATTTTGAACTGTGCGGTGCGTTGGAGGAGCTGCAGAGCAGCCAACCGTGAAGCTTCCAGGAGCTGTGGGTTGGGGACTCACCCCGGTGCTGCACGGTGCTGTTTCCTCATATCTTTCCGGAGCACACTATTTGGACACTGCGCAGTGTGGGGCCACCATTGTTGGTAGGTTGAGTCCAGGTTTTCAGTTTTGTTTTCTTCTCCACCAGCGGCGCGATGGCGCCTTCCGATCCACACCGCCGGCGCTCGGCCTTGGCGCCCAAATCGGCGCGCCCAGGCGAGGCATCCAGGTCGCGGGAGCCGCAGGAGCCTTAGAGAACACCCGTTAGTAAAACATAATTACAATGTACAGATACACTGATAAAAAAAGGATAACACACACAGTTTGTATATGCTCTGATAAAAAAAATTGGGTTTCTTCAGTGCTCAGAGTTTCTTTTTGGAGCTGAGGACGACTGCCTCGTCTCAGCCGGACGCCTTCGTCTCAGCGAGACGGGCGAAATCAGATCTCATTGACCTCAGCTGATTTGCAAACGCATTTCTCAACTCCTGGAGTCCAAGGGCAATCTACGGGAGACCGCGAGGCGAGCGGAATTCCAGGAACTTTCTGGATTCTCCGGAACATTTGGTAAATGATTTGCAAGAATTCACAGACTTTTGTGTGTCTTCATAAGAATCATTGTCCCCATAGCTGGAAGCGGACAATGCTCTCAGTCTATGCCGGAGTGTTCGGTGTTGGTCTCTCGCGTCTATCGGTCGAGTCGGCACTTGTGTTTCGTGGGAACTTGTGACGCCTGACTCTGACGGGTCCTTCAGGCAGAGTTTTGAAGGCGACAGTCAGGCGAGGGAGCGGTGTTTTGACAAGACATGCACCAAAAAGCAAAGCTGGTGTGGGGAGGCCGGAGTAGGAGGCAGCCGGGCAGGAAGGTAGCTAGGAGTAGGCGTTTTTTCGGTGTAAAGCTCCAAGCTGCGTAAGGATGCAGAAGAACGTCGAAACCGTTCCATCCTTTTTTTCGAGGGGAAAGGAAGTGCCCTGCTCGGTATGACTCGACTCCTAGTAGCGTCCTTGCTCCTACTAGTGCTCCTAGTAGCGTCCTTGCTCCTAGTAGTAAGGCCAGGAGCCCCTAGTAGCGTCCTTGCTCCTAGTAGCGATGCCAGGAGCCCCTAGTAGCGATTCTCCGTTTCGAGGCTTTTGGCAGCCGCTTTGATGCCTTTGTGGTCTATGCCATGGGCCGTGGCTCCGAGGCCAAGCCCAGTGCCACTCGTGTACGGAGCCCTAAGAACTGAAAGTCCATGTACTGTATATATATATATATATTTATTTACGTCAAACTATTTCAAATGTTCTTGGCATTTTTCAATACGAGCTACAAATTATGATTACAATAACAACATATTTTGTTTTGAATGTCCATGTCACATAGATGATGATCTGGAAAGCTGACACTGAACTTTCTGTCACTGGTATATCTCCGACATGATGCTACACTTCACTACCTAGACAACCGCAGTACTTTCTTGGTCGAGCGCACTAGGCAGCTGCAATTGGTCGAGCGCTCCAGGCTAGGCGCAGCTAGGACCGTGCCGAAAAGAAAACCGAAAGGCACGAATCACAGTTTCCGTCCCTTTTGAGAAACGCACTGAATCACTGGGCTGCAAAGAGTCTTGCCGCAATAGACAGCAAGCATGTCAAATGCTAGGCACGAGGCTTGCGGGTTTGCCAGCAATCATTTCTTGCCGGGAACCTGTGCAATCAGTTTTTCAACTCAAGCACCGTGTGCAGCCTCCAGCAAAGGCTGAGGTCCTATTGCTTAATGTCTCTTTTGGGGTAAATGAGCGCAAGCTTGTGTGCCTTCAGCCTTCAGCAGCCTTCAGGCTCATGGGCTGAGGCCGTTTCAAACACGGTGGCTAGGGTGCTAGGAGAATAGCCTTCAGCTAGCTTTCTTCCTTTGGCTTACTGAGGTGGGCGCAGTGATGCAGCACATGTCCAGCAGCGATGAGGCCCACTTCATGGCACAGGCGAGCGGCGCTTGGGCGACGATCATCTCCGGAATGCACCGATCGTCGCCAGTCAGGCGCTTTGAAAGCGCAAAGAGCGTTTTCTGTGCCACAACTTTCTTTTTGCAGTTCCTTCCTTGTGAAGCATTAGATTTCCAGAAACCAGCTTTTCAGTCTTACAGGTCCTTCTTTCATGCAGTCATATCTGGGCAAGTAGTGGCTGAAGAGCCACACGCATTCTGTCTTTGGGTGTTTGATTTTGAGATGTGTAGAGTTATTCAGAAAACGGACACAGGTCCGCATACAGGTTTGCGCAACCGAATGCTTTTTCTTGAATGGCACAATTCTTGCCTTCCTATCCTCAGCAACACATGAATTCCTAGCTTCACCTTGTGCACAATATGAATCTCACCCTCCCTCCCCATGTGGGTCAACATGTCTTTGATTCTTGGTTTAGCCCAGCTGCTTTGTGAAGAAACCAGAGCGTGCTACACTTTGCCCAGTAGCCCTCATGTAATGTAAAGGGCATGCTATTCTTTCTGAAGAGTATGATGCAATTCTTTGCTTGAGGCAGCACAAAACAGCAACTGCGCTGTGATTCTCCTCACCCGGCAGCCAGGGGCTCGGTCAGAAAGAGACTTCTTTGAGACGTTGCGAGAGACTTCTTGGCGCTTCGGATGAGATCAATGCAAGGTTCATCGATCGAGTGGAGACAGGACTCTTTGGTGATAGTGCTGCCAGCTTGTTTGGTTCCGATGCGGTGCATTGGCGCTGTGAGTTTGCCGTAGCTAGGTGTTCCCAAGACAATTGGCTCTGCTCTTGAGCCCACAGACTGTCC